ATTAAACAGGATACGACTTAAAATTAGATTCGTGAGTACACGTCAGGTTCGTGGCACATCGCCTGTATTGTACAAACAAGCATTTGATGATATCAGAACAATAATACACATTTATTTAAACTGGAAACTGGTACCTAGCTTTTAACAACCGTGCGCCAATCTAACAAGATTTATTACCGATCCATCGGAAGTGTTCTATGTTGGCACTACCTGCGTTGAGTTTGCATTTAGTATGCAGCGTACATTATAGACTGGATAACTCGATTTCATATGTTATACTAGCAATATAACCTAACTTAATTTATGATGCTGATTTAACATATGAACGCTCCACTTCTACGCTGTAATTACTTTATATATTATTTTTACTATTGTAACTATTTATATAATGCGATTAGAAATATGGAGACGATAAATTCTATGATTGTTAGAAGATGAAGGTGATGGCGTCATTATCATCATCTACTAACATTTGAAAACTTTAATATTTCACAAATGATACATTATATAAATTAAAAATCAATTATAAATTGAAAACAACAAGAGCAGTACTTGAAACGGCATCCGAGACGGTTCGTGCTATTGCTCTAACCAATTGAGCTACGTCCTCGTCATTGTCGATTAACCTATTGATACATGCACCTCTCGCGTAACGTAAAAAAATTTATTTATAATAGACTTTTAATTTATCTATCAAAATCATGAAAAAAAATTATCAGTTACAATGCAAATAAATTTTGAGCCAATGTTAGTGTTGATGATTTAGAACCAGGAAAAACTCAACGGCCGCTATAAATCATTCAAAATGGCGTATCGTAGTTAAAAATAAACTCTTTTATTTCGCGCTCTTTACCGTTAAAAGTCTTTTATTAAATGCTTGCTCGTGCAAGCTACGTACAATAGTTAAAATAACGATTCATTGCTTATAATATAGTCATGGACACCCGTAAACTCTAAAAATAATCCGTAGCTACAAGTCATAAAGCAACAATTTAATATTTTACGATACAACTTTTCACTGTAAATTTTGTTGCAAAATTCATATCGCTAACTTTGTTATAGGTACGAAACTCTCAAAGCTCCGCTACGCGAAGCTATGCTTTGAAATGCGAGCTTTAAAGTAAATAACTCGATAACAAGTTTATTTATATTCGACTGCGTCAAACATAATTTCATATTCATTGGAGAAATGCAGTTTTGTGGAAGAATTGTACTTTATACATTTATAATACTTTCAATTTCATACGATTTTTCTTTTCAGACATTGTAATGGTATCTATGTATATTATTGCCATGATTACCAAAAGGTTTTATACAAACAGATTTTCATAAAAATCTTGTAAATCCCTATTGCATACATAACACATATCATCATAATATCAAATAAAACGTGCAGAGCAAATGTTATGTTGTTAGAACCTTCAATTATCTTCGATACGTACGTAACTTTTGTAAACGATGATTAAATACACCTTGTTATTTGTGTTTATCTTAAAATAATAGGTCAAGTACAGTGTAAACTAGATTACGAGATCAAGGTTTGACCTAATGCATTATTTCAAAATACTACAATAGATCTTTCAGTTCGAAATTCAAAATTACTTTTAACAAGTAGTCTGTAAAAAATCTGACAAATGTATTGTGGTTAAATACGCGCGTACTTCTCACGGTAATAGATAATGTTATAAATATCGGGTACTTATGTTATAGAACAAATTAAAATGACGAAATTGTTACTTACACATTTTTGCAATAAGAAACACTTGCCTCATTGCCGAATAACGCAAAAAACTCAACAGTTTATTGAGCTTGTTCATTAAGGTTTTCTCGGGTCAACTACCGAAGTACGATGGTTTCTTTTATCAACACAGTGTTATTGTTTTCTTCAAAACAATCAATTATCAAAATAACAAATAGGGTTTAATTATGCAGCGAAGAGCGTAACGAAGCACTATATGACCTCCAAACACTGCCAGCAAAGGTTTCGTAATAATTGTGGACCTTCAGATTGTCCTTGAGGACATGGGAAATGTCTTATGACAGGATTTATTGCCAAGGACCTGACCTTCCACGATATTGTTTCAGCTTTTACCAATATTCACTCAACGATTTCTAATATCACGTTCCTTTATCGTGTTCGCATTTTGATAAATGGGTAGCGTAGATCGGTATCCCATTCTTATTCCTCAAGCGCTGGGCTTTGTCTATTTCCAGACTCCCATGACACGAGTAATACGTCACTCGAGTTGTATTTTGAAGTTCAATGTTTGTGCATCTTCCACCTACCACATGTTTATTTCAATGTCTAAAGCTCCCACGCTAGAAGATCGCCAAACTATGCTAAACGTTTGATATCGTACCCTTTTCAACTTTACCCATCTAACCTTTACCGTGTTCTCTGAAACCCTAATTCTATTATTAAATATAAAATGTATGTTAATTATTTACGCAATTTTTCAACTACACAATGGTTCGGACGGGACTTTGCGCCCACATAACAAAATTAAGCGAAAATAAGACCTTACGATCTGGCCACAAAACATGAAAACATTCGCGCGATACATAGCGATGTAGGTAGGCTTAGAACAGGTCGCGCGAATGTTCGCTCTGCTCTTCGCGTCGCTGGTCACAATGACGACTTCGTACAGCAGATTACTGTTTTTTCAAGGATTTTTAAAATAGAAACACCTCAATACACAAAAGGAAATAAATTCGTATGAAAACCAAAACGCATCGAATAAATTATATTACTGCGTCATTAAAATAATTTGGCAGCACCGAAGTTTTTTTCAGAGACAGGACTATTATTGTTTGGCGCCAAACATAAATAAAGTTTTCGTCTCCACGAGATTCACGTCATTTAGAAAAAGAATGATAATGTTTTAGCGCACACTTTTCCTGATGAGAGAAATGTGTCTGTTATGATTGGGAAGGAAGTGGTAAAATCATAATGACTCTGCAATGTCCATATCATGTGTAAAATAAAAGAAATAAAAATATTTTTTTATCTAACATCTTTTATTACGTTTACAATTTATATATGTATATTATTTAATAGTTATGAATGTTAGGTCTGCATTTTCCTCTTTTCCAACAGCCTATCAACAGTCTCCCTAAAGTCTTTCCTATTTAATTAGTTAATTGGAATGGTTGCTGGCTGTCTTCCGCTCAATCCCTCCTCCCGCTCCCCTTACTCACCATTCCAACAATTCAAGACTTGGACAACCATTTCACAAATTTATAACATCATAAAAAATATGTTTATATTTACTTTAGTAACATATTTTTTTAGTTCCAAGAATGTCCGGCATTAGGTTACATAATAAATATTGCGTGTTCTTCACTTTGTGTCATTCACCAGCTGTGTAACCCTGACTGAGCATAACAAACAGTGTTGAGGTTAAATTATATTTTGAAACTGTCAAACGCTGTAGGGTTATTCAACTAAGCGGGCTCTGCGGTACGCGTAGATGTGCGAACGCTGCGCAGACGCAAAGCTTTAAAAGTTTTCTAAAAATACGTTGACGTGCCTCATTATTCACGTAATGTTAGCTACGTGAGTTATAACTGAACAATTTGGGGAAGACTGGGAACGCGATAGTAATTTTCTATAAAGAAATATTTTATTATAGATACAGTAATAAATAATTATTTTAAGCTAATAAATAAAATTGGGGCATGGATAAGACACACTTGAGTATCACTTTTCAATAGACTTTAGTTCAAATCAGACTATTTGCCCCGTCCTGTTTAAACTAATAATATGTTTTTCTGGTCTCTTTTTGAGTCATAACACCTACTATTTGATGATCTTCATTGGTAGGTGTATAATTTCTACTGTCTTGATCTAACTAATAGTTCCAAACGAATCCTAAACATATTTACATCGATAGCAGGAAGCATTTGTTAATAGCACCTAATTTTCTAAAAAAATCTCTGGCATATGTTTCAATGTAGGTAAATAACGGAACGTCAAAGTCGCTCGAAACGCAACTAATATAATGAATGAAACGTATAATATCCCACTCGCTAAGAAGCGAGAAACTTGGAACTCGTTCAAGATATTAATTAAAATTTCTGTTGCCATGACATCTTCTGTGTTAATGGGCGCGACAAAAGATTTGCTAAAATAGGTTTGTAATGTCTTAGAAAGCGCATTTTTGCGTGGAAATAGAACGGTTCTCGTTTAAACAATTTTTTTCAATAGAAGAAAATTAAGTCTCTTAAATATTTATCACAGAAAATGCAACCCTGTTTTCTCTATATATTCTTAATTCAAATCTTGCACAAATTAGAACTTTACATGCTTATCGCATTACTAACACACACACAACAACTGAAACTAAAGAGGTAATAGATTTAAATACTGTCTATAGTTTACGCGAGTAGTACACATTTAAATAAAACACTTTAACGATTTAAAACGCGATATATTAGTTAAACTTACTTATTTGAAAATTATTTTTAAAGCATCCGAAACGTCGGGCCGAAGTTAAAAATAATTTTTAAATAAGTTTTAACTAAACTAATATATCGCGTTTTAAACCGTTAAAGTGTTTTATTTAATGATGATAGATTTATCCTTTTTTCAATGACAGATGAGGACAGACAAGCGTGGGTTTCACCTGATGATGAAATACCTAGCTTATAGCATCGAAACAAAATCCGCTGTCAGCTTATTTTGGCTTTGGATATTCGGAAATCTATAACTGTAACCGAAACGTGTTTAAACGTCACGGCTTTTTCATCTGTGGACGGTTGTTCGTGACCTGGACGGAATTTCGATCTTCCTACCACCCCATTAATCCAGATTTCCAGACGATAACCAACATGTTTCAGAAAAATTATAAATTTATTAGAAAGATGTCAGACCCGGTCGGCATCGAACTCACGAATCGTACATTGCTACTATAACACCAACGACCCGTCAGAATATTTTTTTATTGCTAATTGTAACAATGACAAAATGTTTGTTTCAGTTACGTAATATCTTCGTAGCTATGAGGGACGAGCGTGCCAGCCCTTCGCGTGTGCGCATCGCTGTTATTGGAAGCTCCAGAGTCGGCAAATCTGGTGAGTAATCTATGCAACATCACGCCCTTTCACGTTTCCCATCACGGGGACTGTATCAACGTTTTTTATCTAAAACATATGCTTGCTTACCGGAAGAGCATAAGGGTATGCATCGAAACATTCTGGTACAGAACGGATCGTACTAACGACATAAACGGCGTAATAATACGTTGTTCTCTATATCGAAAGACTACTGAACTGAAAAAGTGATTTATGTTATGCATTATGCTAGTGATTTATTTATAAATTGGGGTTGCAATAGCAAACCTGACTGAAATAAAAGTAAAAAATATAAACAAACAACTAAGTGAAAATTTATTTAGCCTAAATTCTTTTTCGAACGTCTTGAAGTATCAAAAGTGTAATTCAAAGAGTTGAAAAGCACGGTGAAAATATCTTATATCTCTTTATATTTCTGGAACATTCGTTTTTTATTTTCTCTGATACATGTTGAACTTCGTCAGGAAATCTGGATATTAAATAGGTGATTTAAATACCTACCATCACCTACCATCATGTTTATCTGTCCTTTATCATAAAAAAAAACTCAGTTGCAATATAATCTGAACTATACATGTATGTATACATACATCATAATAAGCAAAATAAAGTCGAACAATGTAAAATACGAAGGACTTTCTCGAATAAAAACTTGTCATTTTTTTTTTTAAGATAAAATTGAGTTTAAAAAATGGGTGTCGAAAATGATATTAACATATAATTTTTATTAAGGTAAATTTATAAAACTGTATTCATCTCTTCGTAATATATATTTGAAATTATTAAATTATAAAGGTCCTTGACGACGAAGACCTTCAAACAGTTATATTTTGGTTTGTTCTAGAAGAAATAAATTTTCACGAAACGTAACGAAGCGATAGCGAAGAAATTTTTAAAAAGTTCTTCAGTTACATAACGCAAAAAATTATAAAAACTTTTAAAATGTTACACAAACAAAATAGCGGCATCATTCCAGACGTGACCTATTACTGGATGATGTAATGCACATGAATACAAGACCAATGTTTTCTTAGACAACACTATTCTACCACTTATCTCAAACCCTCAGTAACCAGATTACCACAATAAAAGTCAAGTAAACTCGGTCACCTACATTGCTTCTGATGTCTTATAAATATGTTTTGACTACTTTATTTTGACGGCTCGAATGACAACCCTTTGAAATTAAAGATTTGTTTGTTGCAGCTCTCATAGTGCGGTACCTGACGCGAAGATACATCGGAGAATATCACTCAAATACAGGTGAGTGCCTGACGATTATTTACCTGGCTGTGTTGTTTAAAGTGAAAAAACTTTTCGAATATTCGATTCGATAATTATTAATTTTTGTTTTAAACAAATTACGATAAAAATGTCAATTCAATTGTATCTCTCACGCATCTACAGATAACCAACGCGTTTTCTATCATTACAAGAATAGGATACAAAATTTTGTCGAGATCGATCGAGTCGGAATACAAATTTGGATACTAACTTGCCTCGACACAAACAAAGTTTTGATTACCACAAATCTTACTGGTAGTTATAATTGTTTTTCTATTTCCAGACTTGCTCTACCGCCAAACGGTACCCATAAACGGAACACCAATAGAACTAGAAGTAATAGACGTGTCCGGTTCAAACTCCGACAAATTCCCCAGCGAACAGGTAAACATACAAATGTTATTCACAACCTTACTTTATTTTACGAAGGTTTTAACACCTTCGTCAAAACTAATTCCCTTCGACCTTTCGCTTCTCTAAACAATCTTGTTTAATAAATTACTGGAAGATTAAGGACATGAACAATTCGAGGTTACATTTATAATCTCGTTGGCGCCTACATTACCCTTCAAATTAATGGACATAAAACACATCTATCTTGCTGGTTCTAATACTTCCGAAATTTATTAGTTGGCCGACATTGTGTGTTCGAATTCTTTTTCCCAGTTAGTCCGGTCACGTCTGGATAACATCAAAACAAATTAATCGATAGACCCTTCCGCAAACAAAATCAAAGCAGCGAGTATCTAAAATGGTTTAATGTGCTGCTATATGGGTTAATCGTCGCGAATATAATACGAGGAGCATGAGACGGGGCTCTAGGCGCTCCAGTGACCTGCAGAATTTGTATGACTCACTGTGTTTACAGTGCTACATTATTAATTGTACCTCACCTCGTCTGCCAAATGTTCTCGCTGACGTACAGTCGAGTTCAAATCGACTTTTACTTCTTGATCTCAATAGGACTGAGAACGACAGACAAAGCGCTTACTGTCTTTCAACTGTCGACAGTATCTTTGTGTAGATACAAATATAATATTATTACACATCTATCTATACACTAAACACTCTATTTCAATTGTGTTAGAAGAAAGATTTAAGTGTAACATTTAAGACTTTATTAACAATATAAAAATGTATATATAATAAAATTATGTTATAATTTCGTTTCAGATTCAGTGGGCCGATGCTTGCCTTCTAGTTTACTCAGTAACAGACAAAACTAGCTTCGAATACGCCACTGAAGTATTGAATGTATTGAAGAAGCCACACAACAGCAGTCCTGCACATAATCCTAGTGCAGGGACGTCTGGGATGCCCTTAGCACTTTTAGGAAATAAAACTGATTTGGATCATTTGAGACAGGTCAGTATTATTAAGAATGATATCCATTAAGTAGTGCAGTCATAAACGATCCTCGATCGAGGATCAAAAATATTTATTTAAAGGAAGAAGAAAGAAGTACGGCAAAGGAATGATCTTGAATCAAATATTTGAGGAAATATTTTATCTGGCAACCTATTGGTATTGGTCAGCCTGTCTGTATATACATTAATCCACTATGATTAAGGTGTCTACAGACAGGTGTGAGTCCCATAGCTGGGACTGGGCATTTGTCAAATTCTTCGAGAACTGTCAAAGAGCTGATGTATGTATATTGATATGTATCGATCGTGATACGTTCTATGATTTGCATATTAATATGACAGCAATATTGTTCAAACATACAAAAACACTTGCTTTAATTTCAATGGAAATTAATTATTTATACATTAAGCATACCAGGGTATATTAATGTTTTATTTATAAAACGTGCATCGGTTCAGGGATGAACGAACTTAACGAAGAACAATATTAAATATCTTTGATTTTGAGATCAAACAAACCCGCTAAGATCGATTGAAGTTTTAAATCTGGTCGAGTGCATGTTGAAAGGAGATAATAACATGTCCGAATTAACTTCATTTTTAGTGTATTTTGTACTTTAATACTGATCATAAAAATATACACATTGTCAATACATTAATTGGTGCCGTTATTGTCATATTATCGACAAAACACGTTTTTTAACTTCATAACGTATACAAGTTAATAAACTTTAAAACGTAAATATATATGTTTATATATATTTTCGTATAATAACTGTTTTAAACCGTTATAATTGTTTTATTTCCTTAAACAGTTTAGGTACAGACAGTGCCAGTATAATAATGCTTCTTATATTAATAATGATAGTAATATTTTTTATTCTTTTCTGCAAATTTTTATTACTATAGTAGTTACTCTTAACTTAAACATTATTTAACTTTAAGTTTTCACGGTATTACCCCGTAAAGCTTAAATTACTCTTTCGCGTCTAATTAGGTACTCTAATCAGTCTCTGAACGGTAATAGTTAAAAAAAATGTTATAGACATGCATGTTATTTTAATTGATGATATTATTTCAGGTGCCCACGAAAGAAGGTCAAGCATTAAGTGCTGCACATGGCGCCTCCTTCAGCGAAGCAAGTGTAGCAGACAACACTGGCGACCTCTACCGTTGCATGGACAAACTATTATCTGAAGTTAGGACGCCGCAACGCACGAGAAAGTTTTCCGTTACGAAAATGCTTGGCTCATTAATAGGTACAACATAAATACTTATACTACTATTTACTTATATAGAGTATTTTACACATACGTATATAAAACAATCCTAGATTATAAACATTACTTTCGGACCACAGAAATAAGACAAAAGTAATAAGTTTCAGTTATACTGAAAATAAAAAAAACCGGGGTCACGAACCACTGCTTTCCTAATAATAGAGGAGGACAGACAAGCATGGTTCACTTAATGGTAGGTGAAATACCGCAGTCTATAGCATCTAAACAAGATGCGCTGTCGACCCATTTAGGCTTTGTATATTCGGAAATCCACAGACTGAAAAACGTGATTAAACTTCTGGGATTTTAATCTGTGGACGGTGGTACCCCACCCGGACGGAATTTCGATATTCCAATCACCCATTTAATATCCAGATTTCCAGACGAAGTCCAACGTGTTTCAGAAAAATTATAAAATGATTAGAAAAATCTTGGACGCGGTAGGTATAACCCACCACTCTATGACGATGAGTATTAACCAGTACATCGCTACCATTACACCAGCGAGCCCGTCAAAATATAGGACGTTTGCCAAATATAGGACAACAGCGCATTCATCATTCACATTCTTAGTTATTTCATCAATTGTATAAAAACATTCACCACCATAGTATATCTCTACTTTCAGGCGGACAAGCGAATAACAATCAGACGACGCGCGGTTCAGTTGTCGCGTGTCCCCGCGTCCCTACGCCGACTCGGCCCGCCCTTGCAGCTGCTGCGCCCTGACCTGCGACTCCGGCGCAGCGTATGCGCTGATCAATCGATCAATCACGGCACTACCCTCCGAACCGCGCTTCGATGGCGGAGGGACGCAATAACCATAAGGACCATATAAATACTCACGATAAGTCGTGAGGTCTAAGTTACGAGTATTATATTAATATGTTTTTAATTTAATATAAAAATGTTAAATGAGATAATCACAGAGTAATTATGAATGTAACTTTTAAAAATTTGGGAAGTACTTTATCCATTTCGTCAAGAATAAATTGAAAAACCAAACGGTTGAAAATTATGGAAAAATTATTAGTTATTACTTATACTAGTCTATGATATAATAACGAACTTAGGAGTCATCACGAGTAAAGTTACCTGAATAAAAATTTAGGTATACACATAAATTGTCGATGAGTAATGTCTGTGCCAAAAACAATATATTTTATAAATATATGTGCAAAAAATACTTGGGCACATTCATAAATGCTGTACATTTCTTTAATTTTTTGAATGTAATATGCCAAAAAGTATAGATAGATAGGAATAATGTAGATAGTTTTTATTATTTAAATGTGGCCTAACATATTTGTTGTAAGATGTCTATTTCGGATTTCAATAAAAATATGGAATTCTATTAGAAAAACATGTAAAAATTTCTTTGAGCAATGTATTTAATGATATTCAAGAAGTTATTAATACTGATATGTAATAAAGTCAGTATGCAATAGTTCAATTATAGTATTCAATTGATAGATTTAATAAAACAAATGTTTAATACTTAGTCAATGATAAATGTCAAAATAAAATTATGAAAAAATGTTATCAATAAATACTCGCGTAACTACAAACTAGTTTACGCGAGTAGTACACATTTAAACAAAACACTTCAACGGTTTAAAACGCGATATATATTAGTATTAACTTATTTGGACATTATTTTAACTACGCCCCGACGTTTCGGATGCTTTGCAGCAGCCGTGGTCACGGGGAGACCACGTAGTTAAAATTTTATCGTTGAAGTGTTTTAAATGTTATCATTCAAAATGGATCAGGTGTTTTGTGTTATAGCTTTAGTCAATGTCTAGTCATTAGGTAATGGGCTGTGAAAAGACATGAATTTTGGGATTGAAAACAGACAGCAAATTAATTCACTTGTATCCAATTACAATACCTGTGGAAGGATAAAGAAATAAATGATAGAGTTGACATTTTAATAAAAGAAATATAACATTGCAATAGTCATAGATATTTTTAAATGGAACTTATTTATATTAGAAGCAATTATAGACCGATATTACTATAAATAATGTAATACGTATTATAAATATGTACATTTAGAAAAAAACGGAACTGATTGGGTTAAGATGTAATATTTTTAATAAATGTTATAAGATGTTTAATAAATCATGTGCAAATAAAGTTGGGTTTTTATTTTTCTGATTTGTTCAGGGTCGAAAATATGCGATTGTTTTTAAAGTTCTTAAAATTTAAACATAACGTTTGTGAACTTTTTTGAGGAATGCTTCGTTCTACTATGTTTTTATCGAGTTTGTATTATTTCTTAATTATTTTTTTTTTTGTAAAAATTTCAGAATAAATTTCTTTAACTTCGAAAGAAACTTTTATGTTACATTAATGTGTTACAGTACTATGTCTATTTATGACTATTTGTATGCAGTTAGTAAAACAAACAAACTTTTTTTATTCTATTTTTCATTAATGGTTGGGTTTTGTTCGATCGTTCAGCAGTATTTTTTTCATTTATCGTTAGTCAACGTAATAAGCTCGAATCCACTGTGCGCTGTACACGCGCCGCGACCAAATAAATCACAATCGAATCTCCGAACAATGGCCGCTACGAGAGCAGAGGGGTGCGCGCCCCATCTGCGTCCCACAATCGATATGGACCGCGCCAACTTCTCGCCGCTACTTCCATTATCTCACAATCGCGTTCCAAATTCAAACGTCCGCAGAGATAGACTGTAATCTTTCCGTATTTAATAGTGGTTTTTGTTTTCCCAAGTGTTATGTTTTAATTAATTAATAATGGAGGGGCGGAGGACTTGGGACGGTGTGCCGTTGGGCGAGTCACACTCTCCTCCACAGTCAGTGCCGGGTCGGCGGACCCCTTTAGGAGCTGTCGGCCTGGGTGGCTTCTATATGCAGGGACACCAGCCTCCGCCTCAACACTGCTATCCCACAGATGAAAACCAACCTGAACCAGGCACGAGCTACGCGCAGCGGTATGATTATAAATCTAATAGGAAATATGTAAACATTCCACTCAGCATCATTTACTGAACGTTAGAATTAAGCAACCGATGACTTTCATTGATAAACTTGATTACTAAGCTAGGTTCTACGTAAAGAGCGCAAAACCGCGCTTCGGTTTCAAAAACATATGTTTTCCTCGTCCACGCATGCGCATTAACCGAAACGAAAGAACGACGTTGTTCAGATAATAAACATAGCCGGTGCAAAATAAAGTTCAAATATTTAATAAGAAAATTAATTACAAAGATTGAAAATTTAAAATGCTGAAAATAATTAAGAAACATTAACCTTTAATCTTTATATAATTAAAAGTATAAATAACTAGTATTTACTTACATAGTAAATAATAATCCTATGACATCGTAAATACAAACTAATTCATCATCTGTGCATAATACAGTATGTCGCCCTTAGCTAGTATTATATGTACAATGCAGTAGCAATCAATAATCTCTACTATTAAATAGAATGTTGTAGCATTACAATGGCCATTTGGATGTATTTCGCAAAAACAAACAAGTACTATAAAACTGGTTCGGTTTCAAACGGTTTTAATTAAGTTTTTTTATAAATAAATATCACACATAATACTTAATAAATTATGTATCATCTCTAAACTCACAACGAGACAAACACATAAATAAAGACACACAAGACAACAGACTTCAATACCCTACATTAACGAAACTTTTATATTTTTACCCTGAAGTTACGCGCTATTTAGGTACTAGTAGGTACGATTTGTTTAAGGAAGCAATCACTATACAATAATCAATTAGATAATTAGTGAAAATAAGAATCTAATAGGAAAAATTTTGCTTATTCATCGAAATATTCGGATGAACCTAATTGGTCTTCTATTGTCTTTTGTACCCCACTTTCGTTACCCTCTCTTTTAAATCGCTTTAACTATGGACATAGAACCCCTGTTCATTGTTAGAATAACCCGATTTTATAGCACTTGTCACAAATACATGCACCCCTATCGATTATTATTAAAGTGTATGTATCTTGTACATATATGTTCCATGTTATAAGTTTGATATCACATTGTTATATATTTTTACTTACTAAATTATATAACTATTTTAGACCATAGCCAATATATAATATATTCATACAAATATTTTTTTTTTAATAATTTTTTTATTCCATATTTTCAGCCCACTCGGAGATGGAAAATCGAAGCAGAAAATGCGACAAGGCAAAAATGTCAGGCTTAATATCAACGCTAGAGAACGCCGAAGAATGCATGATTTGGTAGGTCGATGTGTCTTTAGCTTATTTCAATAACGTGAGCTTATTAAACACAATAAAAGTCAAATCCCGTTTCCCTAAAGTAGAATATGGGGCGAATACATTGTCTATGATAATGTTTATTTCAGTAGATAATAAACTGGAATGATTTTACAGTGATCTGAAGAGATGTCCTCCTAATTATTCAAGGTTGATTTAAAGATGAACTTTTTTTATATATCATTTAATTTTACATTCCAGAACGATGCATTAGACGAGCTACGCTCAGTAATTCCTTATGCTCACTCACCGTCCGTAAGAAAACTGTCCAAGATAGCGACACTGCTTTTAGCAAAAAACTATATTCTCATGCAAGCAAGTGCCCTCGAAGAATTACGCAGGTACGTTATGATAGAGGAGAACAAATAAAATGGGGTTTACTTAATGGTAGATGAAATTCCCCCCATATAAATCCACAGACTGAAACGAGAATAAACTTGACGGGTTTTTTGTCTGTGGATGGATTCGTGATACGGACGGAATTTCAATATTCCCCACCCACTGAATATCCAGCTTTTCAAACAACGTTCAACATGCTTTAGAAATATTATAAATTGATTAAAAACATATTGGAAGCGGTGGGGATCGAACCCACGATCGTTGAATGTTAGCCACACATTGCTACCAAGCTGCCATTACACCAACTCGTCAAAAATACCGCGAAGATTCGAGTATTTATCCTACTATAATTTAACACGCTGAAATATTTGCGTTTATGAAATATAATTGGTTTTCATGATAAAACATAAAAATGCATATTATACTAAAGAAACGCATTCCAAAAACAATCCAAAAGACGCGATTTCTATCCTTAGAGGCACATCTTATTTATTGTTTCTGTAAAAAAAGCTATTTGAAATATTACACAATACCATAACACCATTTTATCTGTACAGGCTTGTAGCATACCTACAAGGCACTGCAACAGCTGCTGGTATTGTAGCACCTCCAGGTTTCGACCTCGCCGGTTTGCCCGCCACTGCTAAACTGCTGCAACCTCCAAATCTAGGTCCACCGGCGCCCCCGGATCCTCCTTCTTGAGACATGCCAATTAAATTAGAACGTTAAACTGAATTTGCAATCGTAATTTTAAAGAAATTAAATTTATGTGCAAGTATTATTTTTTAAGTCGATCGGTGAAACTAATATGTGTAGAATTTTTAAAAAGACTCTAATTTATTAAATTATGAAGTAATTTCAATTATGATTAACTGTATAATGTACTTAAGGTAAGTATTATTTGTCTTAATTTATTCTGAACTTAAGAAAACTGTGGTAGGCAATCTGTATGAATTATGCAAGCGACATACAAAATTTAAAAAACTCATTTACACCTTTACCTTTTTATATTAAAACCAACAAAATATCTTGCTAACGGTGTGACAAACCATAATTGTGGGTAGGCTCATTAAAGTATTATGTAGGTAAGATATTATTTATATTAATTAATTAAGTGTAAGTTCACTTAACTAGATAATCTAGAAGTGACTGTGAATCGACGTGCCAAATACTAGTAGTTTTATATACGATTTGTAGTAAGTACTTAGATAATAAATAATTCTTTAATGAATCGTAAGAAATCTTATATGTATTCTCTTATCTCTTCTGTAACTCGGATGTCGGTGTGAGTAGCAGAAATGTCCATTATTAAAAACTATACGATTGCCGTATAAGAATGCAGTATTTTTTAGTACAATAAGTTATCATTACAACGTCATATATTGTTATTTTAGTAGAGTCTTATGTGAATTTGAAAGTTTTGAACAAAACATAGTTATTCCATCTGCTTGCGTATTACAGAATTCAGTGACGCACTTATTTTTATTATTAACCATTAAAGTTATCGTCTCAGGACGACAGCAGTAACATCTTAAACTAATGTAAGTTGAACTAATTAGTATTTAATTGATTTAACTTCATGATTACCCAGTTAGACTAGCGAGCGCCGTAAATTGTTACGAAAAGTAGTCATTAATAATATAACATTATTAATATGTAAGATACATTAAATAATGATTATTTTGACTCTTTTAGAAAAGCTCTTCACACCTTGAAATATTTGCTTCAATAATTAAGGAAAACTACTATGATAGGATAATTTTTATAGTAGTTAGTATTAGACATAGTTGTAGCGTATCTAGTTTTAAAAAACTTACGCGTTCATTTATGTATACTTTTAAAAAGCAAGACAACGTTATTTTGTGCAATTCATTCACCCAGGAGAAGGCTATTTCTTTATAATTGTAATTAGATGTGGTAATTAATCGATTTAATTTAATCAAAATCAATAGTTACTCTAAGCTGTAAACATCATCTTAACATTGCCATTTTCGGTCGTAGCAGTAACTACATAAGTTATTAAAACAAGAACACTATGCGTCAGAATATGCATATTATTACTTACACTCAAAACTTATGTATTTTAAATTTGTTTAATTAATTGTAAATATTATCCCCATTATATAATGCTGATAGTTAGAAATTTAGAGTTTACGTTCAATGCTCAACTAGTGAGAACTGAGAAGCGTATATTAGAAATATAGATTTCTTAAGTACTTAGGAAAGTCTCATTAATGTTATAGTAACTAAAAATAATTTCCAAGCCAAAGAACATCGTTCTTATAATTAACTTATTATACGCTAGTAATAATAATTCAATAAAATATTAAGATACTGTATGCAGTTTCATTGTACATTTGGGTCTTAATAAATTTTGTATTCTACGTGTCAACATTGGGATCCTGCCTTTTCGCCTCTTCGATCTCTGCCTTGCCAACCAACGTTTCGCCTATTTTTCACTAACGACTAACGATTGTCAAGTTTTTGTATGACGTTTTTATATGGTAAAATTATTGTTAAGCTGATTATTGCAATGACAAAACACGTTTGGCGCATTTATCTTTTGTCAACTTATTTATTAAGCCAGACAACTTTTAGAATAATAACATTAATCTTGCATTGAAGCTAATGTTTCCATGGTCTTACTTGCATTATGTATTAAATATAAAAAAAAACGTTTTAACACGAAAGAACATATACAGACATCTATTGTTCGCAGGTACACGGTACTACATACTTTTTCTTCACTCACCAACAACAAGAACAAAAGAATTATGATAGATGGCGCGTTTTACAACAATTCCAAATACGCAAATACCATTAATATTTTATAAGCTTTAATGCAGATATAAATACCCAATAACTGATTTCAGTATAATGTTAACTATTTAGTTCATTATTTAATCAATCAGCAGCCGTGGTCACGGGGAGACAGTCTCTCTAGCGAAGCGTACGACGCGTCGACCCGTAGTTAAAATAATTTTTCAATAAGTTTAACTAATATACATCGCGTTTTAAACCGTTAAAGAGTTTTATTTAAATGTGTACTACTGGCGTAAACTACAGACAGTAATCAGCCATAATTTACTTTTAAAACGTCTACATATAAATTAATACGTTATTTATTTACATCGTGTGACACTAATTTTTTTAGCTGTCTCTGAAAGCATTCATATTTTGGATTATCCAATGTTCAAAGATTTCATTTTTAACTTATTTCTTATCTAGTAGATTACTAGTTATAATATTGTTGACACTGACCGCACCTTGATTTGATAACATTATATTTTATAGGTACTAGAGCCCTTATCAGTTTCTCGTGTTATCTCAATGACGCATTAACTCTTTTCTCTGTATTCGCTGTTTAGCTTACTTTTAAAATTTCTCGTAACTAGATGCTAAAACGTATGCTGAGCAATGGTTCTATGTATATATAACTAGCTGGGTCAGCGACTTCGTCCGCAAGAATCATTATTTTGGGCATCTAAATTCGTTTTTGCAAACCCTTTCATCTTTACAAACTTAAGCTGTTACCCACGACATCGTCGCAGACTTTTTTTGATCATTTCATACATATCTGAACCGTTTATGCAGCGTACGCCTCGAAAACCCATAATGATGAAAAAAATTTCCCAATTCCCGCAGATGGTTTCGGCCCGTCAACGGGATCTCCGGGGTTGTCGGCTGGCTCGATATCTCACGCTGGTACCAACCGACCCACGCACCCTGCTGTGCGTATGTACTGAGCCAGTTACCCCTCTCACTGATGTATATCGTTGAGAGAAACAAGACGTATATCGTTATTAGAAACACTTGGACGTATTTCGTTAGAGGGTCGTTAGAGGGTCTCTTCAAATAAAATCCCTTTTTCTTCTTATTATTCTTCCAAAGTGCTTCTTCCTTATTGCTCGTTGTGACATGTTTTGCTTCGGGACCTTTGCGAGCTAAAGTAGCGCGAACTATACCGCGACGAGATGTCCGCGAAGCGTGTGCGATTTCGTGTTATTTTCCGCCAATTTTTACTATCGCGAAGCACTTTGGAAGCTTATATTTATTTATCCATTTATGCGATTTTTACAATTTTTACATGGAATTAAACCTTACAAAATTCTCTATTTGACTATATAAAATACATTTCAATAGTTTTAATCTCCAATGAGATATTCAAGTTTCTAACAAAAAGTTCGTCAATTTTCGATTTGCTATTTCGTTAACTTTAACATCTATAAACTTCAAACTTTTATAAAACGATTCGTTTTATCAATATTAAGCTATTATAACAGTTAAAATAATGATTATATGACATACAAACAAGAAATATCAAGAAATAACTTTGTCATATAAACTTACACTAAAGACGCATTTTACACATTAAGCTTAATTATTTTAGGACATATCAATATACTATAACAAAATCTATCCTAAAACACTCATTTTGTCATACATAATATTTACAATTTACGATTAGAAATAATTAAATTAATTAAAAAACACGTAAATACCCTGTGCGAGTGAGATAGACATATATGTGTGCAACAAAGACAGATAAAATAGTTTGTGAGAAAGATAGGCATATTCGTGTGACAAAGATAGCTATATATGTGGACCTCACGTGTTGTGTAATACCATTTCTACAATAAAATATTAATTAATCAAACTACTTATTTTTACGTGAGGTCGTAAGGTCGCCAACATTCTCCCCTTCGTGCGGTGACGCACCATCCTTCTGGGGCGGCGACTCGGTGGCGGGAACCAGCAGCACGATGCGCGATGATGGTCGACGTAGCACCCCGCCTCGCGTAGTCACGTCGACGACTCGTGTTCTGCCGTCGGGTCCTGGATACGTTTTGGAGATCTTCCCCCGCGGCCATGTGCATCGAGGGAGAGTGCGGTCGACAATTATGACCACGTCTCCCACTTTCAAGTTATCGCCCGGCGCCTCGTCCACCTTCCGTGGCAGGAGTGTAGGAAGATACTCCCGTAGCCATCTTCTCCATAGGTGATCCGCCAATTGTTGCACCGTCTTCCAACTGTCCTTGCCAACCATTTTCATATTTGCGAAGCTGCCGATTCGTGCCGCTCCGCAAGACCTCCCGATGAGAAAGTGGTTGGGTGTTAACGCCTCTTCTTCTGCGTTGTCTGCGATGTTCGTGATTGGTCGAGAGTTGACCATGTGCTCTGCTTCCAGTAGAAGTGTCATCAGTACTTCTTCCTTTGGGCAGCGATCCTTTAGTGTGGCATTGAGCGCTGTTTTTATTGACTGTACCATGCGCTCCCATGCGCCCCCCATGTTAGGCGCTCCAGGTGGGATAAACTTCCAGCGTACCCCTAGTTTTTCAGCTTCTGTCGCAAGCTCGTCCTCTCGAAGTCCCTTTAGTGCTGCTTGTAACTCCTTATTTGCCCGCACGAAGTTGGTTCCATTGTCGGAGTAGATAATCTTCGGCATGCCTCTTCTAGCCGCGAATCGTCGGAGCGCCATTATTGTTGAGTCGGTTGTTAGACTCGGCACTAATTCCATGTGCACTGCTCTGGTGGTAAGGCAAGTGAAAAGTGCACCCCACCGCTTCTCTCGTCTTCTTCCAATGGTGACTGTTAGAGGTCCGAAGTAGTCTAGACCGATACACGTGAAGGGATAAGCTCCGTGTTGTAGTCGCTCAGGGGGTAAATCACCCGTTGGTAGTACCGCTGGTTTTCCCTTAGCCGCCTTGCAATGCTGACACCGTTGTTGCACGCTGCGTAGGACTGGACGTAGGCCGATCATCCAGTACTTCTGCCGGATCTCATTCATGACTGTTGCCTGATTTCCATGATTAAACTTCCTGTGAAAATAATCAATTATCAACCTGCCTACATGACTGCGCGCATCCAAAATCGTAGGAGAGAGAAAATTCCCATCCATATCTCTTATAATGTTTATCCGCCCCTTTAGTCTGATTATTCCATCTTGAAGGGTCACGTCCAGTTTTCTTAATTTGCTAGAGGTTTCTATAAGTTTCCCATTCTGCAGACAGCGTATTTCTTTACTAAAGCATTCTTGTTGGCTTCTTCTCACAAGTAAATCTTCAGCGCGTTTCAAATGAGTCTCTTCTATCGGCTTAAAGTGTCGTGCCAATCCGCTGTTTCTGGCTTCATACGTGTCTCCTTCCTTTCTGCATAAACTTATGAATTGCAGTACTCGTGCTGTCGATCTCCACAGCTTTGCCCACGAAGAGAACTTTTCTAAAGGTGGTGTGACACAGATTGTCGCAATGTTGACACGTTCTATTGGAGCTTTGTCTTCTTCTGACTCAGTCTTCTTAAATGTTCGTGGAGCAGGCCAATGATCTTCGTCTTCACGTAAGAAAGCTGGACCCTTGAACCACCGATGCATACAGTTGAAGTTCTTCGGTAGGTTCCTAGTCGCATCGTCAGCTGGATTATCTGCCGTGGGCACCCATCTCCAGTCTTGTGGTCTTGTCAAATCTTCGATCTCTGCCAACCGATGAGCCACAAAGGTCTTAAATGTTCTGGGGTCTGCCTTGATCCACGACAGCACAACGCTAGAATCTGTCCAATAAACTTTCCTATTGATCTTCAAATCCAGCTCCTTTTCGATTGAGTCAGCTAGCCGGCATCCTAATAACGCTGCTTGAAGCTCCAACCTTGGCATTGAAACTGGCTTTAATGGTGTAACTTTAGTCTTAGCTGCTATGAGGTATACATTATGTCTGTCTGCGTAACTTGTTCTCCAGTAGACCGCTGCGGCGTAGGCTGTCTCGCTGGCATCCGTGAATGTGTGAAGCTCCCCTTCGGTGCACGTTGGTGATATGCACCGAGCCAGCCGGATGTCTGAAATCTTCTTTATGTCCTCCAAATATACCTTCCATCGAATGAAATCTTCTTGCGTGATCTTATCGTCCCATCCGACCCCACTTCGCCATATATGCTGGATCAGCTTCTTCCCTTGAATGAGGATGGGTGAAATAAGACCCAACGGGTCGAAGGTGGACATAACCGCTCCGGTGACTTCTCTTTTCGTCGGGGTCTTCACACCACTTGCTACTTCATCAGGAATTCTTCTGAATTGATTCCTAAATGCAATTTCGTCGCTACGCGTTAACCATCGTAAACCTAGGGTCTTCTCCTCGCTGTCGCCTAGATCTACTTCTTCAGCGCCCTCGGAATTTATTGTTTCAATTTTATTCGACGCCCAACCACGTAGCTCGAAGCACGCCTTCTTATGTACAGCGTCCACTTCACGGCTAACTCGCTTGCAGTCCTCTATGCTGTGAAAACTCTGGAGATAATCATCCATGTAATGATTTCTTTCTATTGCCCGCGCTGCTTCGGGAAATTCCTCTTGATATTCTTGTGCGTTCTTATTCTTTACATAAATTGCTGTACACGGTGAAGAAGCGGCTCCGAATATTACTGAAGTCATTCTATATTCTTTCACTGGGGCCTTCTCATTGTCCCGCCACAGGAATCGTAGACTATCTCGGTCCTCTTCTCTAATCTTCACCTGTAGGAACATTTCTTTGATGTCTGCTGCTATTGCAACTGGACCCTCCCTGAAACGCAGCAACACTCCAAACAATGACTGAAGTAGATCTGGGCCGGGTAGCAGTGCGTCATTAAGGCTACATCCAGCTGTCTTCGCCGCCGCGTCGAAGACGATCCTCAACTTCTTCTTCAGGGGATGTTGAACAGCAAAATGTGGCAGGAACCATTTCCTCGATGAATTACAGTCAGCAGGCGCCTCTTCAGCATACTGGCAGTGTAGCAAATTCTCTATCTGCGAACTGTACTCCTTTTTCATTACACTGTCTTTACGCAGTTTCTTTTCAATCCCCTTGAACCTGTTCAAAGCAGTTTCGTAGTTGTTTGGCAATTGCATGTTGTCTTGCTTCCACAGGAGACCAACCTCAAATCTTCCATTTTCTAAGCGCCTACTGGTTTCATGCAGTATCCTTGTGGCTTGCTCTTCCATATCCGTACTTGGTCTTTTCGGATGTATTCCAAGAGATTCTATCGTGAAGTGCTCCTTTACCAGGTGATCAAGCTCTTCCTCGACGGTGTTCAGGTGAGCGCAAGTGTTCACATAGTTTATGGGGGATAAGTGGCTGCTGTCGTTGCCGTGTAAAACCCATCCGAGTTTGGTTCTGGATGCGACCGGCTGTCCCTGTTTTCCCCTGCGCACCTGTAAGGACACTATATACTCCCAGTTATCCTGTCCGATAAGCAGCATTGGTTCCTCCGCCTCGTAATATATATCATCAATGATGTTCGTTAGATGTTTGTATCTTTTTAACTGATTCTTGTTTAGGTGTTGAGGCGTCAGAATCAGCTCCCTCACGGTTCGTACTCCTTTGAGCTTACCTCTGCTTTGCTGTTTGGTACCTCTTAGTTCCAGGTCGATCTTCATAGACTTTTGATGTTGCATCTGTCCACCGCCTACTGTTTCGATAGTTAGTTCTTCTTGAGGTCCACGTGCCCCGATTGCGTCTGCGATCTTCTCATGCAGAAGTGTCACGGTGGAACCTTCATCCAACAATGCCATTATTTTCTTGCTACCTCTGGGCCCGTAGACTTCAACCTGGACCATCTTCAGCAGTGCTCTGGAGTTTCTAGCTGTGTTGACCAATTCCGCGGATTGTTCTACTTCTTTAAACACATGCAACAAATCATGATGCCATCTCTTACATGTCTTACATGGCGGCCTTCTACAGTTTTCCTTCCGGTGTTTCAATGATAGACACTTAAAACATACCTTCACCTTCTTTACGGCATCCCATCTGTCACTGACGCTCATTTTCAAAAATTTAGGACATTCAGGTAATCGGTGGTTGTCCTCGCACCCTGGACATTTCATGGTTTCGGCGACCCGCGTCACGTTGTTCGTGGTGTATCTCTGTGGTTTTCTCGCAGTCGCGCCCGGATGTTGCGGCTTATGCTCCACAGCTCCTGCAAACGCGCTACACCTATCTGCTTCTAAATTGAGAAAAGCACTCACCAATTCCACATTATACTTTGCTTCCTCTGGATACGCCGATGCATATTCATACCACCGATACCTCAAGCCGTGTGGTATCTTCTCAACTATTGAGTTCACAGCTGCTGGTGCATGCAGGAACTGGGGTCTGTTCAAGCTCTTGATCGCCGCGACACTGTTGCTGATACTATTGGCGAAGTTACAGAGCTCCCTCGGGCTATGCCCAATCGGAGGTATGCTCTCCAATTTCTTCACTTCAGCCATCACTAGTAGGTCAGGCCGCCCGTAGCGCCGACGTAGTGCTTCCATAACATCTTCGGGCTTCATACTGGAGTATAGAAGACTCTTGCAACTTTCCCTGGCTTCCCCTTTGATCGCATTCCGAAGTCTTGCCATATTGTGAACTGGTGAAAATAGAGAAGCTGTATTATCATATACGACCTTAAATGCCGTCCACTCGGTGCTATCTCCTTCAAAGACTGGAAGCTCCTGAATATATCTCGGCTGCGTAGTCATCGTCGCGTTGTGAGACAATGCTTCTCGTAGCGCCTCTGCGATGAGTTGAACCTCGGCTGATGCTTCTTTCTTCACGGCAGCAGGACCAACGGTAGCGGCTGCAGCAGCAGCGGCAGGTCCGGCAGCAATAGCAGGCCTAGCAGCGGTAGGCCCGACGGCAATAGCTCCAGCAGCGGCCATTCCCGCAGTAGCAGGTCCAGCAGTTGCAGGCTCCTCGGCAGCGGCTCCAGGTAGCAGTGGTGGCTCGGCGGCAGCAGCTTCCATCCAGCTCCGGATGTTGCGGTCTCGTTCCTGGAAGGCTTCTTCATGTTCGGCAATGGAGTCTTCTTCCTCTTCTTCCGTCATTTCTAAACGCATTCGTAGCAGGCGTGCCTTTGCCTGTATTTCTTCGAGCTCAAGGCGTGCCAACTCTTCTCTGGCCTCGAGCCTCCGTCTGTTCGTGCTGGCTCGGGACCTCGTAGCTGTTCCAGCTCGCCGGGTAGAACCCTCGGGTACCAGGGTCATGGTGTGACCTGGCTGGCTCGCTGTTGTGGCTTCCGTGGACACCATCGTCCTCTCGGCCCCTATGGTAACCGTAGTCCCTGACGTGGTATCTTGCGTGGCACTTGTGGCAGCGCTCGTAAGTGATGTCGCATCGGCTGTCTTGTACTCCTTCTGTGATCGGGTAACTGGCATCTTGAATGCAGGATCCGGCTTTCGAAGGACCAAAAATTGTTGAGGGGTCCCGCAGATGGTTTCGGCCCGTCAACGGGATCTCCGGGGTTGTCGGCTGGCTCGATATCTCACGCTGGTACCAACCGACCCACGCACCCTGCTGTGCGTATGTACTGAGCCAGTTACCCCTCTCACTGATGTATATCGTTGAGAGAAACAAGACGTATATCGTTATTAGAAACACTTGGACGTATTTCGTTAGAGGGTCGTCGAGGTTCTTCAAATAAAATCCCTTTTTCTTCTTATTATTCTTCCAAAGTGCTTCTTCCTTATTGCTCGTTGTGACATGTTTTGCTTCGGGACCTTTGCGAGCTAAAGTAGCGCGAACTATACCGCGACGAGATGTCCGCGAAGCGTGTGCGATTTCGTGTTATTTTCCGCCAATTTTTACTATCGCGAAGCACTTTGGAAGCTTATATTTATTTATCCATTTATGCGATTTTTACAATTTTTACATGGAATTAAACCTTACAAAATTCTCTATTTGACTATATAAAATACATTTCAATAGTTTTAATCTCCAATGAGATATTCAAGTTTCTAACAAAAAGTTCGTCAATTTTCGATTTGCTATTTCGTTAACTTTAACATCTATAAACTTCAAACTTTTATAAAACGATTCGTTTTATCAATATTAAGCTATTATAACAGTTAAAATAATGATTATATGACATACAAACAAGAAATATCAAGAAATAACTTTGTCATATAAACTTACACTAAAGACGCATTTTACACATTAAGCTTAATTATTTTAGGACATATCAATATACTATAACAAAATCTATCCTAAAACACTCATTTTGTCATACATAATATTTACAATTTACGATTAGAAATAATTAAATTAATTAAAAAACACGTAAATACCCTGTGCGAGTGAGATAGACATATATGTGTGCAACAAAGACAGATAAAATAGTTTGTGAGAAAGATAGGCATATTCGTGTGACAAAGATAGCTATATATGTGGACCTCACGTGTTGTGTAATACCATTTCTACAATAAAATATTAATTAATCAAACTACTTATTTTTACGTGAGGTCGTAAGGTCGCCAACAAAGACTTTTTTTTGATCCTTTAGAGAGAAATCATTACCAGCATAATATTGGAAATATTAGATATATTAATATTAAGAATATTACGTAAATAGTATAGGAATAATTTTCCCAGATTGTTTCATATTGCACATTGTTTTTCTCTCCTCTCTCGCGGCGTGAATAAAGTAGGAGATATTAGCGCGTTTAAACAAACAAACTGTTCAGTTTCATAAAATTAGTATAGATTTATTCCGGCATAACTACAGAAAATATTACTTGACTACATTGTTTTTCGTATTGGAGTTTAATTATCATACCATGTCTGTGACTAGCCTGTGACAACATACCAGTGCCATTTTGTGTCTCTAAGTAATTTATCTGAGCAGTATAGGACGACTAGTAATTGCAACCCTAACGTTGTTGAATACGGCCGAGCATCTAGCTCCAAGCAATGAGGTACGAAATTTAATCTACCCCTGTCTACCTCCCTGTCCCTTCCTATCGCATACCCGCCCAACAATGAAACAACAAAATGAAATTTGTGTATATACAAAAGTCAATTATGATTAGTAGAGTTTTATATATGAGCAGTTTTGTTTTTCCATGACGTTTCCATGTGAACGTGACAGGCTACAGTGTTGCAGTTGCTATTAGGTATAGAAGATACCTAGGCAGTAGGCACCGAGCGATACGACGTTGGGCTACATACTTGTATATGTAGAGACCTACAATACAGCAAGAGCGACAGTTTGATAGTACAGGCAAACAAAAGACAAAACGCGCATTCAAATCCTTGCGTTTTTAACGTGATTGGATTACTGATACAGTTCGTATTATGTTCTGTGGTAACAAAGACTAATAGTGAATTATTTGTCTACATACATATTTATAAATTACTTACCGTGTAACAAATAGTTCCTATAGAGGTAGAATGTAGGCGGTATTTTCGACATGCAGTAAGTAGTCAACTAAAGCAACCATTATTCGACTATTTTTGATAAAAAGTAAACTATAATATGTGTTGTCGACTTTTACTTATAAGACAAATAAGTTAAAGTCATAGAAGACGCAGCTCTAACATACATAGCTACGTTTAAAAATACATATATAAATACTCGATGCGAGTATCTGAATGTTTGCGGTGTACTATTTAAATTACAAGCGAGAACGAGAAAACCGTATATAAGCGTCGCGGTCGCTCTCACCCTCCGCGAAAGCCTCCTGAAAATATCTATTGATTATCGTATACGTGCTGGTTGGTATGTATAGTTTGCCACCTCGCCCTATATTATGTCGGCTCCCGACGTAGAGTGCCAATTTGTTTTAAGAACTTTCGCGTTAACTGAACTTTAATATAAACATGCAATTCATTCTAACATACAATTGGCATTCTGATAAAATCCATTTTGGTCAAGTGGTATGAGCGTACGTTAGGTCGGGAGTTCAATCCTCGGTGGTGCACTATATTTTTCTTTCTCTACTAGTCTGATACTTGCTCCCCAATGAAGAAAGACATCGCGAGAAAACCACCGAACCAATTTTTTTTTATGATAGAGGAGGACAGAGCAAGCGTGGGGACGTAGTACGTCACTTGATGGTAGGTGAAATACTTTTAAAAAGGCTTTAGAAAGTGATGCCTTCTTAAAAGGCCCGAATCCCTACTGTGGGAAGAAGTGATATACATAATATATTGTAATTAAATATGTTTTGTTAAAAACAAAACATTCTACGGACACTTCCGAATTCTTTTGTTTTTGTCTATGTTGACTCTAGATGTCAACGGTATTTGGAGAAACACACATAAGCGAAAGCTTATGTGTGCATGTACCATATATTAATTATGTACCAAATACCAATGACATAGTTACAATAACGTATTATCTACTCATACGAAAGTCGATTACCTTGAGTAACGAAAAGCTATTTTTACAACGGCGATGACGCGGCCGCTCTACTAATGCACACCTATCGCAACCGTCATTCGATTCACTCATACAACAACAATTTTCTTAAAATACCATTTGTAAAGTAGGTAGGTGATCTATAAATATTTTTACAACAAGATCTTTATTCAGTAGAAATGGAAAAATATAATACATAGAGGCGCTTTGGGTAATGAATAATTCAGCTAAACTTGGTCATAAAAGCAGTCCTTCGATTACAATATAATAAAAATAGTTAATTCATCTTCAGGTGATTGTCAGTTGATGAAATCGTCACAACTAAAAAAGTACCGTCAATAAATATCTACCCAGTGATCGTCTGACGCCAACGCACTTATAGGTACCTACCAAATGAGGTAGAGTTAAAAAAGGTTTTATTTTAATATTGTAATTACATTATTTCATCTTTAAATAATTCATCTATATCACATCAATGAAAAGTAATGTAAGTAAGCAAAATTATGTAAAAGTTACATTTATGATCGATGACTCAGTTGTCTATTAAAATTTATTTATATATATATTTTATAATAAATCTTGATATAAGATTTATAAGTTTATTCAATTTACACTTTAAAAGTAAGTAATACTGGAAACAAATGGAACAAAACATACCAAAGCTCAATATAAGTATACCTACCTAACATAGATTATAGAGCTTTTATTTAGGTCATACGTTCCCGTCAACACCAATACGTATATCTACTTGCGTTCAGACTTATTTAACAGAAAAATGAAGAATTAAAAAATTATAACGGCCCAAGACCGTATGCAAGGAAATTAATTTAAGATTTGATATTATTACTAAGTCAAGAAACGGTCTGCGCCTGCGTGAGACCGTCGACGGGTGTGCGAGGTGCGGAGGGTCGCAAGGCCGGGGCGAAGAGCGGAGGGGAACGTAACGTCACTTCGAACAACGTAACTATTATACTGCTAAATGTAAAAGCGTCGTCTGCCGAGGGTCGTGTGGCCTTTAACAACACAACTCTCCCGGTGGAATTAAAACTTGCCTGCGTCGCTCGAGAGTCGTCCAACGACCAACACGGTTACGCGAAGTAGGAATATAGAGTTGGGTGCAGTAAAAGTGAGCTCTCTCCCCAGTTTTATCGTGTAAATTTTTCGTTGTTTTACTTATCGCAAATATTTCGTTCTTAAAAGTGATATTTTCTCGCTTCACTAATAGGCAGTGCTAGTGTTATACAGACGGCGTAATTCTATGTGGGACGTCTTTATCAAAATAAATAGAGAATAGGGCAGCGCTTCGGACTTACGATTTGATACAATAAAGTGAACCTTATTTTGAATTGCAGTGCAGCGATTTTCGCAAAACATTTACGGCTCATGATAAAATTAAAAATAATGACTGTTGGTCGCAATGTTAATTTGTGATATTATGAAAAATATGATGTGTGAAATAGGATATTATGTGCAATGTAAAGGGTTCTTGGGCTGGACAGTACACCTCGACGCTTGCCAGTGAAGCTGAAAGCAGGATCAGCCCTTGTATAATACTAAAAGGTACAAATTGATATGTATTTCTTTATTTTTAATATGTTTGTAAATTTAAAAAAATCTTATCACTTAGGGGAAAGAACTTATTACTTTAGAAAAAGCTTGATTAAAATCTTGAACCTTTTTCAGATTAAAATGGACAACAACACTGCATCACTACAATGCTCAAACAACGAGCAAACAGAAAACTGTGATGAACTTCAGCACTCAATGGAAGGAAAAGAAGAGTTAGGAAAACTAATGACTGTCGAAGATAAAGTTGCTAGTGCCAGTGACGTTAATAGTGAAGATAATGACGATCAAAACAGTGTTAGTGTCTCCCAGTTTTATGAGAGCAGTGACAGTAAAGTAAATTATGCTCTAAAAATAGACGATAATGACACTTTAAGTGATATAGATGATATTAAAACCGACACGGCTTCAGCAGATAGTGAAGATAGTGCTCTCGGTAGCCTTCCCCCTGAAAATGCAGTGAATGATAGAGAAGAAGATGGTCAAGATAGGTCAGACGGAAGTGATTCAGGACTTGGCTCAGAAACAATTACAGAAGAGGTGAAATTACCCCATTTTAATATTGTTAATAATGAAGCAGGAGATTCTACTTCTAGCATAAAATGCTCAGAAATAAACGCCGACAAACAAGAATCAAGCAGTTCAAATGCAGAAGCTATCCAACTAAGTAAGCCAGTTAAGAGCAGTCTCAAAAGGAAATATAATAATGAAGACAACGATGCGGAACCCATTATCAAGAAGAGAAAAGAGGCAATAAAATTTGACAATGTTACAGTGTTCTATTTTCAAAGAGCACAAGGCTTTTCATGTGTGCCCTCGCAGGGTGGATCTACATTAGGCATGGAATGGGAACATAGTCATATACAAAAATTTACCTTAGCTGAACATGCGCTTGAGCAAAGAAGGTTACATCGTCAATTATTACAACAATTGAAAAGTGAACGTCATTCTGTATCTGGTGTGCTACTGTCATCTAGTGAAGATAGCGACACGGAAGAAGAAACTAGTGATATTTCTGAATCTGAGTTAGATTTAGATAGTTATTATTTTCTACAACCTGTACCTACAAGGCAAAGAAGAGCTTTGCTTCGAGCAGCCGGTGTAAGAAAAATCGAGAATTACGAAAAAGATGAGTGCAGAGATATAAGAACTTCAAGGGAATTTTGTGGATGCGCATGTAAAGGTGTATGCAACCCAGAAACCTGTTCGTGTAGTATGGCAGGTATAAAATGCCAAGTTGACAGACTTAATTTTCCATGTGGATGCAGTAGAGATGGATGCGGGAACACAAGTGGACGTATTGAATTTAATCCAATACGTGTGCGAACTCATTTTATTAATACACTTATGAGATTAGGTCTGGAAAAAAAGAACGAGGAAAATCAAGAGGCAAAACGCCAGTGGGCCTCAGCGCATACAATGACGAGTATTTCTCAATGTATTCCACACCCTTCCTTTGAAAAGGGGCACTGTCAAACCGCTCAAAATACCACCATATCACACAGTCGAAACAGTACAAGCATTATTACACCTCAAATAGATTCTTGTTTAAACTCGGGAAATTTTATCGGTGTCCGCAACTGTATGAATTCAAATAATTCTTCTGTTATAAGTGAGGATAATATTATCCAGAACAACGGAAAAGAAAGAAGCGTTACAAATTTTGAAGCCGCGTCTGATCGCAGAGATCACGACCCTTACACGTCCAATATACTCCAAGGAAAGGGACCGCCTTATTCGGTATCGCACGCGATGGACTTCAACAATATACAAAGATTTCCACGTGACGTAAATTATGCATATGATCAACACCACAGCGAGCACAGCCACGGTTTCAAATCGTTACAGACTTATTCCGCAACCAGCTTTGAGGAATTCGCCCAAAGCTCCCACATATCAATGTTCAACCCATATGGACACGTTTACACCGCAGAGTACATACAGAAACCTAGCACTAGTATGTCAGAGCACAATAACTCTTTAAATTATCATGGATTGGCTCAAAGTCATTACGATATGTTTAAAAATACTAATGCGTGTGTCAATAATGAGAATAAAACGAATCCAAGTTACACAACATTGATGACGATGCCATATCAATCTAATAATAAGTTGCAATCTGTAGATAACGACGAAAATTGGTTCAGTCAAAATACTTTATTAAACTTGGATAGAACGGAGCAAACTACCCAAGGCACCACGATCGTATCGGAGCCGACGCAGTCGTCCGAAGGCGATCCGAATGAATCGTCAGAAAATTTCGGGGAACTCATTAAAAAAACTATGGTAGAGTCCGTTATTGTGTAGATGAATTGTTGTATTTAATACCTTCGGTTGATTATAACGTTACAATTATTATTAAGTTTTTAAATATAGGTTTTAATTGAGCACTGACGTTTATTTTCCTGTGAAATTACTGCAGCTGGTTTATTTATGACAGCGGATAGAAATAATCATGGTATGCTTACCATTTTATTCAATAGCGACCTCTTTACATGTTTGATCAAAATTTAATTATTCGCCTAATAAGTATAATAAGCAGAATTACATAATAATATCATGCAAAATAAATAAGTAACAAGATCTTGCCTCTATTTGGAATTGTACGATATATTTATATGAGCAATTTGAACTTTCATCTATACTAAAATGTATAGATGAAGAGTTTGTATGTTTGAACGCCCTAATCTCAGGAACTACTGGTTCGAATTGAAAAATTCTGTTGTATTTAGTGTTTCTTAGATCATTAATTGAGGATAGCTATAGACTATAAAAAATAGCGCGGTAACTAATAGGAGCGAAGAAACAGCGGGAAATGTCGAAAAAACGGTTAAAATTATCCTTCCATTGCGTACACTGCGGACACGGTTCAAGATACCCAAAAAATATGTACAAATGATTCTTCTTTGAATGATTTAAAAAAATGTCTGCCATACTATGTGTGTATCTTTTAAAATTAACTTGAAAGACTGACGGGACGCACAAACGCCGTGGGCTATAATTTATAAAAATGAGGAGTTTTGTAATACAAATTTTGATGCCCATAATCAGTATACGTGGACCAAGTCGCCGGCACGGCTAGTCGTTTTATAATACGACCTTAAAAGTATGATTATTTGATATACATAGCAATAAAATAAGCTACTAGAGAAATATTTCCTGACATATTTCTATGCCGTTTCACTAATTGATTTTTACAAACAAACAAGTTTAATCAGATGTCTGTACCCCGACAGACCGACACTATTCATTATGTTTCCCTGAAGTCCAATTTTAACAGAGTTGCGAATAAGCAACCTTTTTTTGTAATCAAAATTTGAATCAATCTGTTATTGTATTCAACTATAGAAGCACTAGAAAATAATAATATCGATAACGTCTTCGGTTAACTGAAACCAGAATAAGAAACTATCGGCACGATAAAACGGAAATGTTTTTATATAATAAAACTAGAATTTAAAGTTTGGAAAATTAATAAACTAATAACTTACACAGAACAATGAAAAAATAACAATAGCTACTGTAAGTGTACAGTAAGTTACAACTAAGTAAAATACTTGATCATTAGTAATTTTAACGTAAGTAGAACTGAAGATAAAATCTTAGGATATTTAGACGGCAATGCAGTGCCTAGAAAGGCGGTGACTGTTTACTAATCAATGATTGTACGAAGCGCCGAAGGTCGTCAGTTACAACCCTCATCGTAAAGGAGGTACTAGTTTGGGAACGAATATATCATGAAATTTAATGTATTTTTAATTATTATACCTTAGGACGGGCTAGATGGTGTAGTGGCAATGTACGGCTGATAATCAACGGGTCTTGGGGTTCCCTCCACACCGAGTATAACATGTTGGTTATCAATTTTTCTGAAACATGGTTGCCTTCGTCTGAACCTCTTGATATATGATAGTAGGAAATCGAAATGCCGTTCATGTTACGTTATGTTTGAACGCGCTAATCTCAGGAACTACGAGTTCGAATTGATTTTTTTTTTGCTCGATAGGGCATTTATCGAGAAAGGCTATAAAACATACATTTCGCGCTGTGACTAATAGAAGCGAAGATACAGCTGCAAATGTGAACAAAACGGGCGATTTTTTTCATGATTCCTCTTTAAATAATCAAAAAAATGTCCGGGATCCGTCTATTAAGATTAACTTGCAAGAACGACGGGACACTCAATTACTACAAGAGCTGTATTTTACTCTAATTTCACCATACTTTATATATTGTTTTCCGGGGATTCGAACCGAATACCTGTCATACTTAACGCAATTATAGAAAACGCGTTAACCATTGCACTACAGAAACGCCAAAAGAAATAACAAAAATACATATCTTAATATTTATAAGCTTTATTGTCTTGTTCTTAATGTAAAAAAAATGAGATACATGGAAGTTAATATTATCACGTTCTAGTAATACATTTCAAAATAAATTCGTTTTAAGTGGACAAACGTCAAGAAACTTTGGTTAACTTCCAAATCTTGACCGATCTATCGGAACTCCCTGTGATCAGTGTTTGCGATTTAATATCGAAGAAAATACTCTGGATATCACCTGCATAACAAATAAAGAAGAGTATAGAGAGCTGAAGATAATATAGGATACACGAGGGGCTCGTTGGTAAACCCCGGGTTCGAAGTGAGGGGTCCCTTCGAACCCCTCCAGGTCCAACGTGTTTCTAATTGGGCTTCGTCTGTAAATCTGGGTATTAAATGGGCGGTAGGAATATAGAAATTCCGTTCGGGTCACGAACTACCGTCCACACATTTTCAGTCTGTGGATTTCCGAATAACCAAAGGCAAAAGGTCGACAACGCATTTTGTTTAGAGGCTGGGGTATATCACCTAACATCAAGTGATCCTCACGCTTGTCTTTCTTCCTCTATCATTAAAAAAGAGGATACTAAACTTATGCTAACGTAGGCTTAGTACTTCGGGCATGCTAAACAAATTTAAGATTTTGGTAAATTTCTTGCCGACGGTAGCCCAGTTAACGAACATACCCTTCTGATGCTATTCTGAGACCTTTGAGAGTCTTTTGTTTCTTTTCTCATTCAACACCATAAAATGCTAGTTTTAAAGTTCCGTGCTTCCTAGTAAAATTCCTACCGTCATGAGCCGGGTGGTCGTGGAGACTGGTCACTGTAGCCATGTTCCACTGCAGCAGACGCATATCGCCTCCGAGCCATAAAACGTTCGCGGTGTCGCTGCATAACGATCTTATACTGTCACTAACGCGTTTTTTAAATACCTGCAAAGATACTAATCTACAGAAAAATAATGACTTATTTGATTTATATGTTACATATATCATTTATTTATAAAAATTAATATTTAACATTTTCTGCAATTGACCGCCTCGAAGGCTTAGCTGTAAAACGTCCCTGGGCTCGTGTCGCAAGGAAACATAAACGTATGTTTGGGAAAGCCAGGATGTAGAAGGTTGATCGCCTACGTTTGAAATCGATCAGTAAAAGGGACATTGAAATGCGCCTGCCCCATGTTACATGGGGCAGGCGCATTTCAATGTGGGGAACTGGGGAAATGACAATATGGGGAACGTCTGTATTTAACGCAAGTAAGACACATTTAAACCGTTTCATACGCAATATATATTAGTTACACTTATTTGAAAATTATTTTAACTACGACCCGACGTTTTGGATGCTGTGCAGAAGCCGTGGTCCCGTCTCCCTGTATATATCTCGTTTTAAGCTGTTACAGTGTTCTATTTAAATGTTTATAACTTACTGAATGTAACACTGTGAGATCTGTAACTATCATATCTCCGTTTCCACTGACAGTAACGACTCGATCCGCGGACAAAAAGCAAACTCCACAAATATCGGTAGAATGTACTGAGACCTTGTGCATTAGGGATTTCGAGCGAAATTCCCATACATACACCTCACCATCTGTCGTACCTGCTAGAATGTCTAACTCAAAGTTACGATATCTGTAAATTGAACAAGAAAAATGAGTTTAAAAATTATTATTATTGCAAATATATAACTTAAACATAATCTAAATATTTAAATAAAACACTTTAACGGTTTAAAACTTATTTGAAAATGATTTTAATTTCGGCCCGACGTTTCGGATGCATTTTAAACCGTTAAAGTGTTTTATTTAAATGTGTACTACTCGCGTAAACTATAGACAGTATATAATCTAAATATGTAATAAGCATTTTAAGAATAAAATTTTTTATACCTAGTTTTATATTTTATCAATCGTATAAGTATAATATAAGTGTAAATCGTATGAAAAACAAAAGCTGCTTGGAAAGATGTTTATCAATATTTATATGATAAAAATGCTTGGGATGTGGAGGAACGCTCTTACAAGGGAAAATATATAGTGCACTAAAAGTACATAGAGAATAATTTAAAAATCGATAATAAATTGCATTTTTTTTTTATTTATTATCGATTTTTAAATTATATAGTGCTTTTATGTGTAATAAAATGTGTTCATTCACAAATAATGTAAAATGAATCTTGGCGATAAAAAGAGTGACGGCGAGTTTCTTGTCAGTTCTTCTCGTTCGTTCTACGCCCCTGATTTGGGAACTGGTAGTAAAAGTAAATTGACTCGGTAGCTCAATTGGTAGAGCAACAGCACGGAACGCTGACGATGCCGGTTCAAGTCCTGCCCGAGTCGAAATTTTTTTCAATTTATTTTCGATCTTTAAATTATATAGTGCCTACATGTGCAATAACATGTGAAAAATATTAATGTTTTCAAAGTAAATGTAAAGTTAGATTCTTTAGTTGTGCGACGTTCATAAGTGTACATTGTTACCTACGATTTTTAACTTTGCATTTGACAGATTTCGCGTTTGTTTGTTAACCGCAGTTTGTGGCTATACCAAGGGAGCATCGGCCTCAGATTATACCATCACAATGTTGATGGAAGCTTGAAGATCTAGACGGACGCTCAGCCGATTCAAGGTACGCGGAAGACGGTTTCGACGATCGGCGCAAGCACCGGCTGACCGCGTTGTGATAAGGTTTCGGCGATGTCGTCGTGGTATATAGTATTTGCTTCATCTAATTTAAATAAAATTAAAATATAGTTTCACACACCTATGAGCTAAAACAGTTATTTTTCCGTCGTGGTCAAACTCGGCTTTTAATCCTTTTAACGCTTGTCCAACTTTCCCCATTTTCGCCCAGACTCGAACCACGCAATCCCACCCGCCGGACACGAGGAGACGATCTGTAAGAATGTGCTATTCGTATTATCAAAGCAAAAACCAACTTATGTCATTGACACTAGTTTTTTACCTTTCTGTAGCCACTGTAAACAACTAACGGAATCGTCGTGAGCACGAAAACTTTCTATCACCCGCCCATATTCAACGTCGTATAAATATCTGAAAACAAATATTGAGTTATAGCAGAAATAAATTGTTTAAAAGCCTCAAAAAATTGACCTCTACTTAGTCACGTAAAATAAGAGATCTTATGAATAACTGTCTTTTGCCCGCGACTTCGTCTAGGGGAATAAGAATCGAATATTAAAAAATAATAATAATTTGAAGCTAGTCAAACTTTTTAGCAATGGAAATTCAACTGATACGTAGAGAAACGTATTTTTTTAATTGAGTTTTACTTTATTATTGTACTGGTACTTTTTCAAGGGCATACGAATGACATGGTGGTAGTTAATAAGAACTTACATTTCATTGTCCCACGCGCCAACCGCCACAATATGTTCGTCGACCATCACACACGAGCTAAGTGGTGTCATGCTCAACACGATACTGCGTATTTGTTTCCTCAGCACCACATCGTATACCTTGAGCGTACCGTCTTTCCCCACAGACACTATCCTCTCGTCATCTCGAAGGACACACGTCACAGCCTCCTTATGCAGCTTAATGTCATCGATGCACTCCATCCTGTACTCCTTATTAGAATTCACCTGCTTTGATATGGTGAGAATTATTTTCCGAACGTGCGCTTTAGTGAATAACTGCTTCGGAACTTGACCGAACTCCATTATCTGCACTTCGAGGGCGTGCCTATCGTTTATGTCGTAGATACTCTCAAGATCTACAGAGCCCTCGTAGCAGACGTGGTGGAAGACTGAAAGCACGATACGATATCAAAAAATCTCATCTAGTATTAGACTTCTAGAAATCCTAGTGTGCTAGTGTATAAACCTTTTTTACGGCTTTATGATGTAAATGTAAATAGTCGACTTGTTATGGTGCAAAGTAAAACGAACTCATCGGGTGAAAAGAAAACACTATTTTACCTCCATAATGCTTTTAATGCGAGATATATATATTTTTGTCCGACAAGACACGGCATAATCTATACTAATATATAAAGCTGAAGAGTTTGTTTGTTTGAACGCGCTAATCTCAGGAACTACGGGTTCGAATTGAAAAATTATTTGTGTTGGTTAGATCATTTATCGAGGAATGCTATAGGAACATCGCGCTGTGACTAATAGAAGCGAAGATACAGCTGGAAATGTGACCAAAACGGGGGAAATTTTTCATCTCTGTGGGTTTCAGATGCGTACGCTGCGAAGACGGTTCAAGATACCTAAAAAATGTGTAAGAAAGAATGATTCCTTTTTAAATTATCTAAAAAAAGTTACGCGACGCTATATCTTTTAAGGTTAACTTGCAAGAACCATGGGAAGGGACGCGATCGACGTCGTGGCTAACAGCTTAAGTTTATAAAGATGACGGGGTTTGCAAAACCTAATTTGGATGCCCAAAATAACGTTTCACGCGGACGAAGTCGCTGATACAACTAGTTATTTATATAATGACCTCTCATGAGATGTCATGTCTTTAACAATGTACTCTGAGGTTAATAACCTCAGAGTAAATTGTTAAGAGTCTTTAATTTTTGTCCTTAATAAAGACTAAATTTCGTGACCTTTTAAAGGTAGATTCATAGATTTTTAGCCGAGCGATATCAATGTCAATTTTTCACAACATAAACCAAAAGGCGATTGCACTAGAAATTTCTCTGCATGGCGCTTATGAATGTGCCTAAAATTACTGGGATATAGAGGTTTCCTTTAAAATAGACGAAAAGGTATTATCGGTAGGTGAAAGAAGCCCGAGGAACGCTGGGAAACAATTGGGAAGCTGTTAGAGGGCTTATAATAATCATGATAGCACCATGATTACATTGTGTGCACTCACCATTGTGTGCTTTAATGGCCTCTTCTCCCCTTTGTTTATACCCAAAAATTAGATCAATCCATAAGTGCAAATGTCTCGATACATACTCAGATTCTAATGCCAACTTGAGTTTGTTGACAAAATCTTCTGGAGAATCAGCCCAAGGCGGGAGTTTCACGCTTCCAACCTTCGTGCCGTCGTGACGTTCACCAAAATCTATATCATACATGTTTACTAAGAAATCTCCTTTGGTTGATATATCGTAAAATTCTGGTACCAATTCCTAAGAATACAAAGTTAATTACTTATAATTTCAAATAAATAACAAATAAGAGGAATCAGTTAAACAAACTGACCTTAAAATCAGACATGTTTTTTAAACAATTATTATAAACATCATTCACTGCATTAAACATCCTGTCTGGATGGTCAAACCTTCCATTTTGGAGACATAACATATACTGAGGGTACTTTCTGACCTGAAGCAATAAAAAATAATTAAACAAAAAATGTACAAATTTTTCTTTTATATAGCCAACTTTGATGGGCTCGTTGGTCTAGTGGTAGCAATGAATGGCTGATGATCAATGGATGGTCGTGGGTCCGATCCCCAGCAGATACATGTTTTTAATTTTTCTGAAACGTGCTGGACTTCGTTTGGAAATTTGGATATTAAATGGGTGGTAGGAATATACAATATCCCTCCGGGCCAGGACCCACCGTTCACAGGTGAAAAAGACGTGAAGTGAGAAGAGTTTAGTCTGTTGATTTCCAAATGTCCAAAACCGAAACAGGTCGACACCGCATTTTGCTTTGATGCTATAATTAGGCTGGAGTAATCACCTATCATCAGGTGAAATCCATGCCATGTCCGTTCTCCTCTATCGTTAAAAAATATCTGTATGACTTACCAAGTAAAATAACACTAATCCTGGAGCAGAATAATGAGACCCGTACATGAATTTAGGGTCGCACATCTCATGGTATCTTTCTAATAATTTTTCAAGTCTATCAGGGTTAAGGGCACCCATAGGTTTAGACAAATCCCTAAACGATTCAGGATCCTCCAAATCCAAAGATTCAGACGTGTAGTCAGCCACAACCCAGGGAAATACAGGATATTGAGTGAGATCATTTTGGCTCCTGTCTGCAAGACTAAAATATATTTTTTGTATGCAAATATACAATATAACTACTAAGTATATATTGTTCATAATATTAAAGTGTTCCAAATAAACATATTTACATTTATTTGTAGGAAATACTTACCAATTGAGATAGATAAGATAATCATAATTAGAAACTATCCCATTTTGCCACTGAAGAGTCATTTCTTCTATGTGCGCCCTTTCTAAATGCACATTTGGTAATGTTTCCAGCACATTATACAGTCTATTTCGCTCCTCATTGCTTTGAAAGGCTAAGTAAACGTGAGACACAGAACTATTTTCACAATAGATTTCAAGACCCTGAAATGAAGTATTGGGAAAAATAGCAACTTCCTTTTTGCTCTAACATACATATATCTTACATCATTTCAGTCATGCACTAATAAAATAGAGCTCTGTATAATATCACATGAAGTTAAAATTAAGTTTAAAAATCTGTGCTATCCAGACTAGAACCCCTTCTACTTACTTTTTACTCCCCAGTAAAAAGTATACTTTGAAATTGATGATGTTACTTAAGAGATTCATACTTAAGTACTAAAATTTATAGAAAAAAACTTATACACAGCTATGGATACATACAACTTGCCTAAGTAAAAATCGTCGCTTGTACATCTTCTTTACATGCTCAAATTTTATTTTTAAAATAGGACTCTGAAACAATTAAAAGGTTTCTATTAAGTTTATAAAATAACTTAGATTTATTCCTGGCATTATAAACATAGAAAAACAACTTACTCCTTCTATATTACTAAAAGGTTGAAAATAAAGTGTGGTCGGTGTTACAGCCAACCTACCCTGATGCCTCACAAGAGGTAATATCTTTTCCACTTGGTATTCACACAGTATTTCTTCAGTATAGTCATCCATCATTACAGGATCAAAAACCATTCTCATATATCTAGAATGCAATATTGTAGCTATCATAGTATTATGCTCAGGTGCATGTAATGTCGATGCTCTATGCAACTGGAGCATTTGTCGTAGACACTCATCAACAGACACAAAATCAAGTGAAAAATAGAAATCTTTATTTTCATATATAAATTTGTATGGAGCTAAAACATTATCTTCTAACATTTCACAATACTGAATCATTTCCAGTCTTATCACATTTCTCTTATCACAGCTGTCAATTTCTGTTATATTTTTGCATTCTTTCAAATGTAACTTGATCAAAGGACTTGACCAATCCCTTGGCTCAAATACTAGGGATTTTGAGCACAGCTTTAACCGCCCCTGGATTGATGAATCTTTGCTCTGTTTATCACTATCATTATCGCACAACATTGAACAAGAATAGTCTTCAAAATATATTTCACCTGGTTCTAAGAATAACATTGAAAATCTGAAAACAATGTTTCATTAAAATTTTCCAATTGTAATTGCTATAGCTAAACAATGTTATAATTATAATGTCTGAACCATATTATAATATGACTATGATAATAGCAATACAAACATTTTGGATGATGCTTATCAAATAAATATGACATCATATTCGAAATAAAATGTATTGTATATAAATTCGTCTGTGTGGAGGGTCTTGTCTTATTTCAGCATAAGGCACCAAATGAAATATATTTTAATACCATATTGAAAAATATATTTCTGTGTCCAATGGATCTAATTATAGTTATCTTATAGACTTCGGATGTATTCTAAACATTACATACCTTGATTTATTCATTTTCTTGTAAGAAATTGTAATAATATCTGGCCTAATATTTATGTAACCTTTAATTAATACGTATTGTATACGTATTGTTTCATTTCATTAAATACAACAAATATAATTATTATAAAATTTTATATGTAGTTTAAGATATTATAACTTTGATACAAAGAAAACTTATTATGTATCACAATTCACAATAAACAGCACATAAACAAGAAACGTCCTTTTTTTAAAGATTGCATGGCCTGGTTACGAAACATTTAAGCCAAAAATACCTGCCAGCAACAGTGTTAAAACTATTAAAAACCACAGATTACATATTTATAGCTTTTGTACAAAGGAACTATGGGCTATTTGAGAAAAATATAGCATCAATGACTATTGTCAGTATTAGGTATACGTTTGGAAATAGTAAACAATAATTTAACATATTCACATAATATGTTAAAAATCATATAAAGAAAAAACGCAAACAATTTTATTTTTAAGTAATAAAATGTATGTATCTTTTAATACATAAATTTTATTACTTCAATAACTTTTAAAATGTAAATTTACAAATGCATGTAGATTGTAGATCATATGATCGACATACTCCAATGCCCAATATGTTGACGTCACTAGCTGTATTCTTCAGCGTTGCAGCCTTATTTCGCAACATTAGCATTTAGGCGCGCAATTTAAATGTTATATTTTTTATATGAAATATTTCCGCAAAAATGGCACTTATTTTTTTGGGGTTCCTTAACATTTTCCAAATTATATAAAGTACAATTTAAAAATCAGCCCAATAGCCCATTATCGATATATTTTATAACTATTTCGTTTTGTAAGTTTATAAATTAAGTATTTATACTCGGCTATAGAATGTTCTTTAGTCTTATTTGTCAGTTCCCCTGTCGAAAACAATCAAGCCTTTTGAATTATTTAACATTTTTGGTTAATTTTTATATAAATAATATAAAATAGGTTGAATTGCCATAGTAACAAATATATAAAATATATATAATAGTAAAAAAAACTTTATTATTTTTAACATGTTATTTCATTCAAGTTGCACATGAGGGCACTATACATATACATAATTTAAAAATCGAAAAATTGTTTGCAGAGCAACAGCACGGAACGCTGACGATGCCGGTTCAAGTCCTGCCCGAGTCAAGCTATACAGATAACTATGTTCCTCCATTTTGTCAATGGTCAAATGAATTTACCTTCTTTTAAATAATTTTAAATAGTAACGATTGTCCCCCCATTTTGTCAAAGGGCGAATTTATGGTTAAAAGCCCTGTTATCAGGCCATCAAATATTATTTTAAAAAATATATAACTAGTACGCTACTATACTCTATGAGTAGAAATTTTAAAAGCAAGGCGCCAGTAATTATATTACTTTAAGCATTTGCAAATTAATTTGTTAAAATGCAAGACGTTACAAATGCTATACGACAAATGCGTTTTCCTCAAAAGCTTTGGTATTTACTAGATTTACATACTGACGCTATTTTATGGGGGGGAACGGGACGAACTATTCTTCTGAATTATAGAGTTTTGCATACTTATTTACAATGCAATCACTCTATTTTTAAGACAACTAACATATCCAGTTTTGTTAGACAGTTAAATCTGTACGGTTTCCGTAAGGTGACCTCCCATTTACAGGATCCTCTTTGTAATTCTAGTAATCCTTATATGCATGAATACATGCACGATTTTTTTCAATTTGGCCGACCTGAACTTCTTTACAAGATAACGAGAAAGGCCCTCACTATGAAAAAAAGTTTTAAAGCAAAGGTAACTTTGAGCTTTTATGTATTTTTGTGCAGTTCACCTTATCATTCAAGGCTGATATTAATGATTCATGGCCATCTTTTATTTTCAGAATACTTTTGTTACAAATGATCAATTACTTCACTTATCTCCATTGCAAAAAGCCCGAAGAGCCTTACAAGTAGCTCTTAAAAAAGCAATTCAAGAAACATATGATTTGGACTCTGCAAAGCAGTCTGCAGATCAATCATGCCCTACTGAATATGAAGGTGAGAGTTTAAGAATGTACAAAAAAAGTATAAGTAAATCTGAATTAAAGCATTCTATAATAATAACTTGAATTTTAGATGAACAAGATGACTTCCAAGAAGAAGATAACATAGAATTGGACTGGACAATATCCACCGAAATTTCCAAAGATACTGAAAATAATCTCCCACCCTCAGGTTTTTTCCTAAATTCCTTAATCCTTTTCCTATTTATTCAAGCACTTTTAAATATACATTTTTGTGGTAGTTATTAATAAACATGTTTATATGCAGCAGAATATGTTAGGGAAGTTCAGCAAAATACTGAAATGGCTAAAAATAGTTATGGGTATGTTCATACTACTACTCTATATGTTACAATTTCATGATACACGTCTGTCAAAAAAAAAATGTAATTAAGGCTGTATAATTTTATCTAGAACTGCATCAAATGGGAGCCTTATACATTTTTCGGACGATTTGTGTCAACATTCTATTGATAATTTTACCACACCATTCTTGAGCATGCCTGATCTTGAATCAGAACCAACGGAAGATAACTCTGGTATTGAAATACTTGCGGAATTTCACATTAAAAATGAAATTGATCAAGGTATTACCAAGAAAAGTGAAAAAGAAAATGACACTCATTCTTTAAATTGTGTCCTACCATCGGTCAGCAATGATCAAAATGATGACATTACATTTGCGGAGGTAATAAAATAGATAATAAAAATAATTAAAGATATTTTCATATTAAAGTTAAAAATGTATATGTTAACATATTCCATTACAGCCTACTGAAGATACTGATCATTACCACGGAGAATGGGATCAAATGTTTTGTGATATAATCACTAATAAGAGCTCAAGTCAAGACAGTGTCTCAAACTTAAAAGATCTCTATTCTCAAATATCGCAAACAATAGATTTACTTAATTCTTAAATATTAAACTCCAATTTTATTAAAAAGTTAATATATTCCTTATGCCATGTATACATATGAATTAATGCAATTAAAGTTACTTCTTCTGTTTTTTCTTCTCAGCTTCTTCCTCTTTTTCTTTTTCAATCACTGTGACATATGAGTTAATAGTGTCCAAGTCTAACATTTGCATAGGTTGGTTACGTCTCATGACAGCTATTTCAAGGTTTTTTTGTCCAGACTGCACAACTTCTAACAAAGCTCTGATGGCAAGCTGTAAATTTTGTTGAATAAATATCTGTCATATATATCTTTATCTATACTACACCTACACTAAATTTTTAAGTAAAAGCAAACAACCAAACTAGTAATTTATTTAAAGCTTTAAATAATAGAGATTGCTATCTGTCTTTAATTTAAATTTGGATAGAGTTTCATTTACCCAGCAGCACAATTAGCACAAATACATTTTTGAAATGTGTTAAAACCAGAATGTAAGTCTAATCAGAAGATCATATGAGCTTTTGAAAATATTGTAAAATGTAATGTTTATTAGTATTCTCATTATGAAAGATTATAAATGCTAATATAATATACAAGAGATACAACATGTAAGATAGGAAACAAAGTGCAACTACATTCAGTTGGCTTACCTTAACTGCACCATTTTCAGTGGAGACTTCGTCAGCTGTATAATTCTTTTCTAAGAATTCTCTGACAGTTTTTGCAGATCTACCAGTTGCATTAGCTTTCCATTCATAATATATTCCTGATGGTTCAGTTTGGAACAATCTAGGGAATCCATCATAATCAAATCCACCAATTAGGCAAGAAATTCCGAAAGGACGACGGCCATTACTTTGCGTGTACTTTTGCTTGAGCCCTGCTATGTATCTAGTGATGTATTCCAGGGTAACTGGATCTTCTACTGTTAACTTATGTGATTGACATTCGATTTGAGCTCGATTAATAAGAATCCGTGCGTCCGCCGTCAAACCGGCAAAAGCCATAACCACATGATCATCTAATAGACATATCTTTCTAACTGTTCTCTCTTCTTGAAGTTTTGCAACAGATTTCTTTTCTACTCCTAAGACGACCACGTCTTTACCTCTAACTCCGACCTATACGATTATAATAGAGAATTTAGTTATAAGATATTTTTACTCACTGTAAACTATTTTTTCTTATTTATGATTAAACATACCGCAGTAGATCCTTTTCGTACCGCTTCTTGTGCGTACTCTACTTGCAACAAATGACCATCTGGGGAAAAGACTGTTATAGCTCTATCGTAACGAGCAGACATATTGATATTTTTCTTTAATTTCGGCGAAGAAATACAAAATTGCAAAGTAATCGAAAACTAAGCACAATAATGACAATGCCGCACAATGACAGGCAAAATTAATGATATTATTAACAACCACAGCAGACAATAAATGTCAAACAGCAATAGTTCCACACAGAAAACGTAATTTAAAGTGGCCGTATCGTAAATCGTTATATACGTTTTATATTTTATAAAACGAAAGCGGTGCAAAAACAGAAATTTTCAATCTTATCGGTGGTTGAATCTAATAAAATAAATTGGTAAAGGTTGAAAATCTACATTTATTTGGGCTCTATAGTTAATATTTTTATCCATAACCTATAAAGGTTTTTGATAACAAAAATAAACATTACCTGTATGATCTCTCCTCTACATCTGTGGATCACAGATCAATATGGCGGCTGTCATGACCGATTTTGAGCCTTGGTTAAACAATAAATTAAAATCTCTTAAAACTGATGAAAATGTGTTTGGATCGTATATTTCAGGGATTTTGGAAGCCGAAGATTCTATAGATGATAAAAGAGACGCTTTAGAAGGCATACTATCTGAAATAGTGGTAAGTGAGTACAAAATTGTTGTTACAATTTTTATAACCATGCAAATTTATTGTACTTGTAATTAATGTGCTACAAGACAAATTGCGCTATTACAAGACAAGATCCACTTAACAACGTTTACAGGAATCTGATATAATAATCCACGTTAATGAAATTATTGAAAAATGGGAATCTTGCAAACCAACCGACGAGTGCCCAAAACTAGTATCAAATATAGATGTCGATATACAACTTGCGAAGATGTTAGAATCTCAGTCACTTGCAACTACTACTCGACGTGAATATACCGATGAAGAAAAAAAGATACGAGAAGCCATATTATCTCAGTATAGCCAACTATCTGATAATGAGGTAAATCATTTATTCCTACCTAATTAAATCTATCAGCAGTTTAACATTTAATCCTTAGGTTATCCTAGTACATATAACTAAATCTTGCTGTGGTTTAATAAAATAAGTAAAATTTAATAAAAAATATTTATCTAAAATTGTAGTTAGTTAAATGAAAGAAATCACCACTGGTTATAAGGTCCTCTGTGCAAAAACTTCAGCCTGACGTTACATATGCTTTCACATGGTCACAGGCTGTAGGTAAATAATTATTCTAAAATATTTTGCATTTTAGGCCATAAAAAGTATTTTATTTATGTGTACTTTTCACATAAACTACAGGTTAATAACAGGTTATATTATTAACCTACAAGAGTAACTATACATTTTTTAATGTTATAGGAAGAGGCAGGACCAGCTGATGATAGTGAAGGCCCTGAATTAGTTAGAAATACAAATGCATTAGATGTTGCAACAGCAGCCAAAGAACGACGCGAAAATGCAAGACTTGAGGCTCAGAGAAAGAAAGAAAAAGACAGAGAAGATAGGTAATATTTCATAACATTTGTTTTAGAAATACAATATTAATCAATGCAAAATTTTACCCCGACATCTTGTCTGAATATGAGATATAGTATTCTTTCTGAATTAATTTGTTTTAAACCAGAAACTATTAGGAATTTTACTAAGTTTTATATTGCATTTATGTAAATTTTAAAATATGTGTTATCTGTTCTCAGGGAAAAACAGAAACAGTTGAAAGAGGAAAAAAAAGAGAAACGTAAAACACAAAAGTCCGAACGAAAGAGATGAAACTGCCAATGCTTGTTATTGTTTTTGAAAGATTAATATAATAATTTAAGTATTAAGTATCGCCTTACAATGCAAAAGAATGTATTTTTTTTAATAGCAAGTGAGAACAGGTATCTTGTAATTTTTTTAAATTAAGGCTATAAATTTTTGAAAATGTTAGACTACCTACGTAATATAGCAATTTTTGTGAAGGTTTATGTATTTACCTTCTGTATGTTGGTATCATTATAATATAAAATATAGAAAGTGTTTGCTTTGAAAATATACATTTTTAATATTTTAAAAATAACAATGTCACCAATAAAATATGAATTACTGTTACTGTAATCGCTTTATTCCTCTTCTGAAACTACAAAATTATGTGCACCTCCAGCATATATTTGTGTTATTTTTGAGTCGATTTCTAATTTCAATGGTATGCAAGTTGGATGAAAAATAAAATCTCCCAAAGATGTTCCTGTGTTTGCATGCTCATTCCAACCCCATGCCCACAATGTATTATCTGTTGCTAAGCACACTGTATGCTCTGAACCTAATACTATATCTTTGACTTGTCTTTTGTCTAAAAAAAATATGTTATATAAGTATGAGTAACTGATTCTTACGGAAATAACTAGGATAAATACAAAACCTGGTAATGTGATATTAATTATCTTCCCTTCAGAACCTTTATCAGTTCCCAGTTGGCCATAGCTATTTCTACCCCAAGCTAGAAGTTGTCCATCTTCTAACCACATCAGTACATTAGTCCATCCACTTAGAAGCTTTTTAACATTCTGTCTTACATCAATATCAATTTTTTCTGGCTTGAAAATTGTTTTATATTTTTCAGAACTTAATAACAGCTGACCATGTTTATTATCGCCCCATACATATAAAGCTTTCTCATCTGAACTCCATGCTAAGGTATGTTGTTGTCCACACACTAAATGTGTAAATTTAGAGTTCATTGGCACTTTCTTAAACCTATCTGTAATTAAAATATCTGTACCTAAACCGAGCTGGCCATGTTTACCAGATCCAGTAACCCAAACTTCACCCTTAGAATTGATTACAGCAGTGTGCCGCAAACCCATGGAAACAGAATATGCTCTCACCTGCAGTCTTACTGGCTTAATTGCTCCAGAGTAGTGTTCCGTCGGTAACCCTAACTGACCATGACTATTTGAACCCCATACAAAAAGATATTGCTCATCTGTTACACCACAACTAAAATCCCAGCCACATGCAATATTTGTGAACTTGATTCCACTCAAACACCACACCCTCTGAAAACTGTGAGCATCGTCTTCCAGGGCTAATTGCTTTTTTGCATTCCATCCACAAGCAAAAAGCTTCCCTTCCGAGTCTAAAAGAAGTGTATGTCCACCACCACACGCAACTTGTTTTGTTTTAGACCACAGATCTCTATTAATTTTAGTAGGCGCATTAACCTGTTCACTGATTTCATTAAGACCCAGCTGGCCATGAGAATTCGCACCCTGAAAGCGATCAGTAGGTTATATGGTGATGAGCTGAAATCATAGTTATGGAACACAAGATTCATACCCATGACCAAAGGGAAAATATCATAGCTTTATTGCCTAATGACATAATAAATAATCAATAAAACATTGCTTGATAAAATTAAGTAAATAATAAATTACTTAAAAAATCTACAAATACGTAACAATTATATGAATTACAATACGGCCGATGTAACTTGGCAGATGTAAGCGCGAAACGCTGCGCAGAAACGTTCTTTAGGATGTTAACGGTGGGAAGAGCGCGGGGTGCGGGACGAAGATCTAGGCTAGTGATTGACTCAATATCAACACAAACGATCGCTTATTCTATCAATTTTTTATGATTTATCGATTTAGATTGTAGATTTTAAATCGTATGAGATATTGTACTAAATGGATTGATGAACACAGTGAATGGTGTTGTTAATAAACAATACCATGATTACCTTTAAAGAAAAATAAAATCATTAAAAACTTTTTTCATCATTGAACTACCTGATATAGTTAAATATGAGTTATTATTAATATAATTACTATTTATACCTTCTTTAGGGCTTTTTATAAAATTATATTTCTACGATCCAATTTTGTCAATTTCAATAGGAATATTAAACGACACTCACAAGGATCGCGTATGGACATCTCTATTTGGTTTGAATCAATTAGTGATATTTTACTTTTGAGTGCTATATGTAAAAATTTTCATTTACCCCAGTAACGAAAATAAATGGCAGTATTAGTTTTCTATACGAGTGTATAATTTTATTTTCTAATTTTCACAATTTTAATAGGAATCGATTAAACGACACTCGATCACGGATCGCGTATGGACATTTCTATTTGGTTCTTTCGTAAAGCTTCGTACATATTCGGTAATGTTCGGTAAACAGTAGTGCATCTCGGTCAATCCTTGGCGTTAATTTCGTTATCTCTGTCTTGAGCGCAGTCCGTTGGAAAAGTGATTGTTTATTGATAAATTTAATATTATTATTTCTCTTTTGTTATATTTTTGTTTTGTCTCTGTATTTTAGTGAAAGACAAGTGTTCAATCAATTATTGGTATGTTACTTTTGCTTGCTATAGGTAAAATTTTTCATTTATCCCAGTAACGAAAATAAATGGCAGTATTCGTTTTCTTTACAAGTGTACATGCGCCAAAGTTTAACTTCTGTTCAGAGCTGCCAAATTACGTCGGCCTTATTATACTAAGTGTCGGGTAACAGTCAACAGATTATAACAAAATAGTGTTGCCAAAAGACATAAGCTAGGAAGTTGCATGAATGTATCTTTTCCCCCTAAATATAGCAATTTTTCATAAATCCTTATTATATTTGATATGAATACTTGACATCTTACCGCAATCTTTTGATAAAATTACCTTGCCGTTAATTGCATTTGAACTGTAATGTTAACGTAATTATATATGTTTTAACACCCACATAAACTTTAATAATATATTTATATTGCAGATAATTTTAACTGTCTTACCAAATGACATCTTTAGATATTAAATTAATAAGTTACTAGAGATCAGTATAATTGGGTACATTTTTAAAATTAATAATAAGATAATCTTATTCTTACTTAACAAAATAGCAATGATGTCGTTCTATAGCATACGACGAAGTCGTTATTATATAATAAACCCGTCTATAAATCATTTTTGAGGCTTCTTCTAAACGTGCTTGGAAACATTGTTGATTCAAAGCTAGGTTATTTAGGCCGTTATAAGATGCTAACTATGGGAAAATAGAGATATGTAGTTGTATGTTATAAAAAAGCCTTACTAATCGCGCGCCTCTTGCAGGGTGATCGCCGATTATTCACATTGATGGTAGTCGAGGCTGATTAAAATGCTAAAACGTCAAAGTTAAAAAAAAAACATGTTAAAAGGTATTCTAGAGATTGTCTTGGTAGTAGGGATTTTTCAATAGTTCCGACCACGTCATCGTCTGTAAATAGGTCAGCCTGGAAGTGTATTTCTCTGTTCCAGTCTCAAATTGATTACCAGTGCCTCTTAATTGGGTGGTATTACAACTACTGGCTGGAGCATTTCAACTGCCATAAAATGCTGTCAATAAAAAAGAAATTCTAAAATACCTAGAAACCCTTCAATATCAGTGATTCTCGGCATCTAATTGCATTATGCAAGCGACTAGCAAGCCTTAGAAATAAACAGGTAAAACCTAAGAAAACATTTCTCTCCTTATTGAGACCACACAGTTAGTCCTGGTTAAGACCCAGTTTAAGCAGTGCGCTCGTTTCCCAGGTCTTTTTCTGAATAACAAGAATATTGTAGAGTCTTTAGCTTATACGTAAGTAGAAGTAGTAACGATCAACTTTGAATGATCTTTCAGGAAGCTTCTAAGTAAACAATCGAATGAACAACGAGATCTTAATTTTGAAATAAAACGAAAATACAAGAAATTATTGTAGGTATATACACTTTACCTTTTGTAAATTTTCTTTAGTATTGCAGGAACATTACACGGAGTCGCGTGTTTATTTGGAAGATGAAGATTATGAAAGTTAAAAAAAATCTGTTTATGGAAGTATTATTTTTATGTCATAATATATAAATATAATTATTTGTGTACATCCTATTCTGTTATAAGTGCGCTTGTGTTGAATAACTATTTAGCGAATTTGTTACGGCATTCAATTAGTATAAAGTTGAAAGACTTATAATACGTATGTACAAGTTTACTTTCGGCCCCGAATAGATTTTTAGTCAGAAAAAAAAAATTGACGTTCCTGATAAACCTTATTACGTTATAGTAGTAATACTAATCTAATGGTGCGTAGAGCGTTGAAAAGCACAGACAATTGTAATAAATAGACATAATTACGTCTGGCTGTTAAACAATTAAGCACAGTAATAAATTAAACTTTCGCAATTCATTTATCCAGCATAGATCATTTGAATGTAATTATACTTATCAGTATAATGTAATCGGTGTATAATTTGATGTTGACAATTTACGTCCACTAATGAACGCATATATCATTTTGAATGAAGAAACAGTAGATGAAAGTCAATATGGAATCTAGTTCCTAATATTATAATTTTGCTTTTGTCTATGGCGAGTACATAAAATTGTCAAGTTAAAGAGAAAAATAAAATAATTTTGATTAAATTCAGACGAGTTAAGTTTAAAAAAAAGTGAAATCCCGTTTTCCCCTCGTGGGGCATGGGGCGAACACACTTTTGTGTTCGTTTCACTGATTCCTTCTTTAACAGACAAGTAGTTGATCAGACTTCTGTGCCTTGCCCGACCGATACAATTTTTTGTTTCCCTGGGATTCAAACCCAGGACCTCTCGCTCAACGCAATGCTAGGGCAATACGATTAACCATTTGGTTACAAAGGCGGTACGAGTTAAGTTATTACTTCTTAGTAATGAATCATAGTCAAATTGTTTATTATTCTAATGCAGGACTTTAATGGGCAAAGACGACGTGTAATAAGTACTCTTACTAATAAAAGTGTCTTGAATTTTTAAAATATTATATTTTAATATAGAAATATGGAGACATTACATACTTGAGATAGAGGAGGCCGGTTTAGAAGAGTAGGTATCAAATACCTACAGTTTATTGAGTTAGAGCCAGTATTGTATAAGCATTAAATACATTAATAAAAATGCAATAAAATCCTTATTACCTACATAAAATAGGCCAATAAGTGATTACTTGAACAAAATTAAACGCTTTAGTTTTTTGTGGCAATAATTAATTGAGTGAACGAATTCAACGATTCCTTTAAAATACCGCGAATGCAAGTATAATATAATCATTAAACCGATTATGCATAGTATACATTCTTGATCGCAATCTTCAGTCATAAACGTGCCTTCATGATTAATTGTTCTACATAATTACCGATTTACATAATTAGTAGTTCTACGAAAAGTAATACTTAATATGAAAAATGAAAGCGGGCGAATTGCATTGGCTGTATGTGTAATGTTTACGATATATCTTTTATACATTACAGGTCAAAAAATATATCGTCGATATTATATTTTATATACTTTTTAATGTACCTACCTATGTATGGATACTTAGAGTTTTTTTTCTAAACATTTTCGATTTTTAAAAATGAATTCTATATTAGAAGAAATATTTTGAATGAATATTGCGAAAAATGTTTTTTTTGGTACAAGTGTTCAGCGATGCAGAGTGTATAAGTGAAAGATCTTGAACCTTCTTTTTGGGGGAATAAACTAACTGGTTACAGTTTTGTAACCGTTAACAAAGTTGCAATATACCTAATCTATATAATATAACTAACTAGCGATCCTATGTAATGGTAATTGGTGATACGATCTACAGGGCTGATGAAAAAGGGGATCGTTCATCTTGTTCTTGAAAAGCCCTACACCCAAACACTCAACGAAAAAGAAGTTGTCCTTACCTCTTACCAGTTCCTGAGCTGGTAAAGATTTAGATCTTTCTGACCTTTTTTGTTTATTTTAAACATCCCTTATTATACAGTTGGTAACCGCTAAGCTCACCCTACAATAAAATAAGAGAAAATATGAAAGCGACTTCTAAATTATATTTCATTACAAGCTTCTAGTTGAAGTCTTGTCATTATTGATGAGTCGGTAATCATGAATACAATGTCGCCAGTGGAAAGTAAGAAATGACTGGACACAAAGTTAAAGTTAATGAACACTATTTTGGTAACAGAAATGCCGTTTATTTTAAAGAGAGGCACAGTATTAAGTTGCGTCGTCATAATAATATACAAAAATAGTTAGTGCATTAACACAGACAATTTTACATTAACGATAATTTAAGATACAAAGTGGTAGAGTAGTAAAACGTAAAGTACTAAAAAGTATCCTTTGTAAGTATTTTTTCGCACCAAAAAGGCATTCAAGGAATTTCAAGGTAATTCTTGGTAGATTATAATAGGTGTACCGTCTTCCCTAAACGGACAGCCTTAACTAAACTTAATCCTTCTTTAGTATTAAGTAAAAAATGCTTTTGCGCTTATTGGTGCGGGACTCAACATACATAAGCTGGTGCACACCACCACCAGGTGGTACCAGGTGATGG